ACCCACAACCCTCCCCTTTCCCACTCCCTCTCCCCTTCCATTCACATCAAGATTCATTTTTGATTATCTTAATATACAGAAGATCAGCTTAGTATACATCAAGTATGGATTTCAACAGTTTGCTCCCACACAGAAACATAAAGTGAAAAATAATAGATGATTTTTTTAAATGATGATGAAATCAGAGCAGACCTATTGTCATGTTTAATCCCAATGAGAGTCAATATGAATTTCAGCATAATTTTTTCTAGATCTGAGAAGTATGTCTTTGATATTTTGATAGGTATCATATTGAATCTGTAAATTGCTTTCAGAAGAATGGACATTTTGATATTGATTCTTCCAATCCATGAACATGGAAGATATTTCCTTTTTTTTGTATCTTCTATTTTTTCTTTAAAGTTCTGTAATTCTCATCGTAGAGATCTTTAACATCCTTGGTTAAATTCATTCCAAGGTATTTGATTTTTTTTGTAGCTATTGTGAATGGGATCAATATTAGAAGTTTTTCTTCAGCCACAGCATTGACTGTGTATACAAAAGCTGTTGATTTTTGTGTATTGATTTTATATCCTTCTACCTCACCAAACTCTTTCATGAGTTCCAATAGTCTCTTAGTGGAGTCTTTTGAATCCTCTTTATATAGAATCATGTCATCAGCAAATGGGGATAGTTTGACTTCCTCTTTCCCAATTTTAATCTCTGATTTCTTTTTCTTGTCTAATGGCTCTGGCTAAAACTTCCAGGCCTATATTCAATAGCAATAGTGAGAGTGAGCATCCTTGTCTGGTTCAGGATCTCAGTGGGAATGCTTTAATCTTTTTCCTATTGAATAGGACGCTGGCTGTGGGTTTCTCATAAATTGCCTTGACTGAGGAATGTTCCTTCTATACCCAATTTGCTTAGAGTTTTCATCATGAAAGGGTGTTATATTTTATCAAATGCTTTCTCTGCATCTAAGGAGATAATAATGTGATTATTATTCTTCAGTTTGTTAATGTGATGTATGCTGTTGACTGATTTGTGAACGTTGAACCATCCCTGTATACTAAGGATAAATCCCACCTGGTCTGAGTGAATGATCTTTCCATTGTGTTGTTGGATACACTTGGCCAGAATTTTGTTGAGGATTTTTGCATCTGTGTTCAACAGGGAATTGGTCTGCAGTTGTCTTTCTGTATTGCAATTTTTCTGGGTTTAGGATTAAAGGTGATGCTGGCTTCATAGAATTTGAGAAGATTCCCACCTTTTCAATTGATTTGAATAACTTGAGAAGAACTAGAGTTATTTCTTCTTTAAAATTCTATTAGAATTCAGCAGTGAAACCATCTGGTCTAGAGTTTTATTTTGTTGTTGTTGTTGAGAGAGTCTGTATTACTGATTCAGTTTCTGTCTAAGTAATGGGTTGGTCTAGGTTTTCTATGTCTTTATGGCTCAATTTAGGTAGGTTGTATGTGTCCAGGAGTCTATCCATTCCTTCTAGTTTTCCCAGTTTGCTGGCATACTGCTTTATGTAGTAATTTCTGATGATTCTTTTTATTTCTGTGATGTCTGTTGTTACATTTCCTTTTCATCTCTAATTTTTTGATTTTGGATCTTTTCTCTCCTTTTTTTGGTTAGATGGGCCAAAGGGGTGTCAATTTCTTTTCTTTTTTTTTTCAAAAAAAACCAGCTCTTTGTTTTGCTGATCTTTTGTATTTTTGTTTCAATTTTGTTGATTTTTTTATCCTTTTTTTTTTTTTTTTGACAGGCAGAGTGGACAGTGAGAGAGAGAGAGAGACAGAGAGAAAGGTCTTCCTTTGCCGTTGGTTCACTCTCCAATGGCCGCTGCAGCTGGCGCGCTGCGGCCGGCGCACTGCGCTGATCCGATGGCAGGAGCCAGGAGCCAGGTGCTTTTCCTGGTCTCCCATGGGGTGAAGGGCCCAAGCACCTGGGCTATCCTCCACTGCACTCCCGGGCCACAGCAGAGAGCTGGCCTGGAAGAGGGGCAACCGGGATTTTTTATCCAATTTTAATTATTTCTTTTCTCCTACTACTTTTGGGTTTGGTTTGCTGTTGTTTTTCTAGATCCTTGAGATGCATTGATAGTTTATTTGGCGCCTTTCCAATTTCTTGGTGTAGGCACCTACTGCTATAAACTTTCCTCTTAACACTGATTTTGCTGTATCCCATAAGTACTGATTTGTTGTATTGTCTTCATTTGTTTCCAGAAAAGTTCTGATTTCTCTTTTGATTTCTTCTATAACCCACTGTTGATTCAGGAGCATGTTGTTCATTCTCCATGTGTTTGCATATGCTCTAGAGATTACTGAGTTGCTGATATCCAACTTCATTGCATTGTAGTCTGAGAAGATGCATGGTATGATTTTGATTTTTTGGAATTTGCTAAGACTTATTTTATGGCCTAGCATGTGGTCAACCCTAGAGAAAGTTCCATACACGGGTGAGAATAATATGTATTCTACAACTGTAGGATGAACAGTTCTATAGATATCTCTTAGATCCATTGGCTCTATGTATCAGTTAGCTGCTGTTTCCTTGCTGATTTTCTGTCTGGTTCATCTGTCCACTGCTGAAAGGTAGGTATTAAAGTCCCCCATTACTATTGCATTTGAATCTATGTTTCCCTTTGGATCCCTTAACATTTCTTTTAAATAGCCAGGTGCCATATAATTAGGTACATATATATTTATAATAGTCACATCTTCTTGTTGAATTGATCCCTTAATCATTATTTAGTGTCCTTCTTTGTCTCTTTTAACAGTTTTTCTGTTAAAGTCTATTTTGTCTTATATTATGATGGCTACACCAGCTCTTTTTTGGTTTCTTTTAGCCTGGAATGTCTTTTTCCATCCTCTCACTCTCAGTCTGTGTGCATCTTTGTTGATTGAATGTGCTTATTGTAGGCAACAGATATCTTCTGTTTAAGGAAGGTTGGTGACCAATTCTTTCTGATTGTCATGGAAAATCTTTATTTCACTTTCATTCACAAATGAGAGCTTTGCAGTTTATGGTATTCTGGGTTGACAGTTTTCTTATCCTAAGACTTGGAATATATTTCGCCATTCTCTCCTAGACTGTAGGTTTTCTGATGAGAAGTCTGCTGTGAGTCTAATGGAGATCCTCTGAACATAATCTGGTGTTTCTCTCATGCACATTTTAGAATCTCTTCTTTGTCTTTTACTGTGGAGAGTTTAATTACAATATGTCGTGGTGAAGATCTTTTCTGGTCATGTCTATTATTGGTTCTGTGTGCTGCCTTGTACTTGGATGTCCCTTTATTTTTCCAAATTTGGGAAATTTTCTGTTATTATTTCATTAAAAGGCCATCTAATCCTTTCTCTCTTTCCATGCCTTCAGGAACTCCTTGAGCCCATATGTTGGATCATTCAATAGTATCCTATATATTCTCAACAGTGTTTTTTAGTTTTTTAATTTCTTCTTCTTGTGTTTGGTATGACTGCATAGTTTTCTGTGGTTTGTCTTCTTAGTCAGATATTCTTTCTTCTGCTTCACCGATTCTGTTGTTAAGGCTCTCCCCTGCATTTTCTATTTGTTCTATTGTATTCTTCATTTCCAAGATTTCATTTTGACTTCTCTTTAAGATCTCAATTTTGTGGGAGAAATTTTCTTTCATGCCATGTGTGGATTGCATTAGTTCATGAATTTGTTTGTGATTACTTCTAACTAATCCTATGATAAATTTTTTGAATTCCATTTCTAGCATTTCTTCAGTCTCATCATCTTCACAATCTACTATTGAGGTGTTTTGTTCTTTTGGGGGTTTCATATTGTCTTTGTTATTCTTGTTTCTTGGATTGATGTGTTTGTTATTTGGCATTTGTGGGGATGTTCATTTGTTTCTTCTTTGTGTTTTTTTTTTCTTTAGTGTCTTTTATCTTTGAACCATGTCTGAGTAAATTAGTGGAGTGTCTGCTTTCAGGGAATACCTCACTCTCCCATGCTGGTGTGGAGGCTCTCTCCTGATGGGTTCCTAAATTGTGCGGGTCACATAGGTCCACAGTGTTCCTCCAGTTTACACAGAGTTTCCTCTGCTGTTTTCTCCCTCACTCTTCCCCATCACTTCTTTTTTTTCTACTTCGTCTGAGCACTGTCATCTAGAATAAGGAGCAGTTTTGTTGCAATATACTGACATGAAAATTGTATATCTTTAAAATTTACTGCTTGATTTTACGATATACATATATGCTGGAAAATGACTGTCACATTCTAGCTGATGGCATATTTGCCACTTCTACATAGTTCTGCTCTGTGTGTGTGGTGGTAGAGGGTGCAGGGGAGTAAGATTTAACTTACTAAGTAAGTAAGGAAGCTCTACCCTCCTAGCAATTTCAAAGCTACAATACAGGGACCAGAGCTGTGGCATAGCAGGTAAAGCCACAGCCTGCAGTGCCAGCATTCCATATGGGCACTGGTTCAAGTCCCGGTTGTTCCACTTCTGATCCAACTCCCTGCTAATGTGCCTAGGAGAGCAGCAGAAGATGGCCCTGGTCCCTGGGCCTCTGTACCCAACTGGGAGACCCAGAAGAAGCTTCTGACCCAGTTTTGACCATTGCAGCCATCTGGGAAGTGAACCAGCATATGGAAGACCTCTCTTTCTCTGCCCTTGCCTCTCCCTCTCAAATAAATCTTAAGAAAAAATAGCTGCAATGCAGAATTGTGAATTATCATCCCCATGCCATGTATTAGGTCCCCAGAATTTACTCATCTGGCATAACTGAGACTTGTTACCCTTTGGCCAACATTACTCCATTCACCACACTCTCTAGTCCCTGACAGCTATCATTCTACTCCTGTATACGAGATTCTGAATAAAAGTGCGGTCATGCAATGATTTCACTGAGCACAGTGTTCTCCAGCTCCACCAATTTCCCTTAAAAAGTCTGTGATCTAAGGAAGAACATACTGACTTTGATTTCTTCTACAGAAACATGTATTTTGAGAATAAATGTTGTTTTTATTCTCAATTTCTTTTGCAGGCATGATGGGACCCCCTGGACCACAGGGGTCTCCTGGTTCTCCAGGCCTTCCAGGGGCAGCTGGCATTCCTGGGAGACCTGATTCTGCTCCCGGAATACCAGGGAAGCCAGGATCACCCGGCCTTCCTGGAGCACCAGGACTGCAAGGCCCCCCAGGATCAGACGGTGAAGTTCTCCTTGTTCACGTTCAGTAGTGTTTATGCTGCCTTGGACATCTGTGGTATCATTTCTAAATATGTTAAAAGTTAAAGCTCTTGTGTAAACAAAATGAAATTAGACTATGATATGTGCAATTGTTCCATTGTGAATTTAATAGTGAAGAATAGAATTTTGTAAGTTAATACAGTTTTAAGTATGGTTTTTATTTTTATCAGCATTATATAGTACTGGGCTTGAGAGTCAGACTGTTCTACCAGGTCTGTTTTGAGGAACTGAAAAATCAGTGCAACCCCGTTCCTGCTTCTTCATCTTCAGAGGCCATGATTACAACCCCTGCAGCCAGATCTCTTGTTTGCTTCTCTATTGCCATTCAGCATACTTGCACTGCTACTTCTTAATATTTCAGTTTGAGCATTATCTTTTGACTTCCTCCTACAGAAATCAAGTTGGGCTTTCATTCATCATCACTCCAAAAAATATGTACATTTTCTACTTCTACAGCTATTGATACATTTATTGCTATAGTTTTGCTTACATAAACATTCAGTGTTTACACTGAATGGTTGTATAAGTACAATGCACTAGCTGAGCCATATAATAGTATGTATTATTGCTTTTCCAGACAACATTTTACAAATTATCTTGTTTTCTTTTTTCTTGGTATTTTTGTTTGGCTTTTAGCATACCTATTATTAACTTAACCTCAAATCATCCAGTATTATGTAAATCTCATCATTATGTACTCTACCTCATTAAATATTCTATCAGTATTATCTCTTTGAATAAATCTCTTCTGGAGTATTTTTTTTTTTTTTTGCTTATTCAAATTAGGTCAGGTTGCACTTTTGATCTGTTGCTCAGATGCTCTCTTGAGATCTTCCTTTACCTTTGTCTTCAGAATTTTCTCTCTCTCCTGACTCCACTTCTCCACATCCTCCATTTCCAACAGCATGTATTACTCCCGGTGGTCTACCCTCTCATTTTATACTGCCCAAGAAAGGGTATAAATAAGAGGATAAAGTTGGGGGAATCATACTTGCCTGAAAATGCCTTTCTCTACTGAGGACTTTGATAATCTGGCTAAATATTAAATTCTGGTTTGGAAATCTTTACTCTTAGGAGTTTTCTGTTTTCTGACCTCCAGCATTGCTACCAAGAAGTCCAGCAGCATTTAGATACTTGATTCTTGGTTTGAAACTGATTCTTATTTTTGGAATCTTAAAGGAGCTTTTCTTTGTTTTCTGGTGTGTTAAATTTAGTATGTGACTTTGTGTATGTATAATTTCATTTACCTGCAGGCACTCTGGACAATTTCAATCCAAGATATGTCCCTCTTTTCTGGAACACATTTGTAAACTATTCCATTGAAACATTTCTCCATTTCCCCCTCTTTTTTCCTCTTTTTTGTATTTTATATCTTCTTGTAGAAAACTAGTCTACATCTTGTAGAAAAATCCTACATGTCTCCTCACCTCCCCTCCCCCTTTACTCTCTGCCTCCTCATTTTTCTGTAACATCTTCTGGGAGATTTCCAGAATGACTGTCTTCTAACTCTCATGAATTTTTAAATTTCTGCTATCATAAGATACATATTCTGTGTATGATTTCCAAGGACTTTGTTGTTCTCGCCTTCTCATTTATTGTTTTCTTTTTGCAGTCTGTGTTCAGGGGAGGAATACCTATTTCTCCTACTATTTTAATTATATTTTCCTTTGAAAGTTTTCTTCTTGCTACATTGTTTCTTTCTTCCAATTCTTCTTGTTACTGTTATCATTGTATGTTGTTATTTCTTGTTGCAATTTTGGGAAAGCTATCTTCAGATCTAATTGGTTCTTTATTATGAGCCTCAAAGTTCTACTTCCTGAGCTCTAGGGTACATTTCTGATGAAAAGTTGGTTCCTTATTAGATTTACCCATTGCCTGCTCAGAATTAGTTCTGCTTTTTTGGGTCTATTAAATCCTTCTACAAATTTTTGCTGCTGGTTCCTCTCCCCTTTTCTTTATACTTTTTTATTCTCTGTCTTCTACTGAGATTTGGGGAGAATACTGTTTGCATCTTATGTGTCATTTTTAACTTGCTTTCTCTGAAATTTTGCTTTTGCAAGGCCTGCTTTATGCTTTCTCATTAACTAATGATTGATAGTTGAAGAATATCTTTGCCATACGCTGACTCAATGTTTTAAATTTGTTTGGTTTTGCTAGGTTTGTTTGTTTCTGTTATTCATTACTTTGTTTTGCAGCCTGGTAATTCAAGGCTGAGATTAAGGATGACTTTATAAATGGTCACAGGAGGAGAAGCATGCCATGACTGTTATTAGGTCTATATGTATTTATTTTCTTAGAACAGAGAGAAAGACTCCTAGGAAAAGAGTGGAACAAAGAACGGGACTGGGAGGGAAACCACAGGGGAAATGGGTGTGAATGCAAGAGCAGTTTGTTCTGTAGGAAACATTTACAATTTGTGTGTAATTCTCTCTGCCCACCCCTTCCCCACCACACAGTGGTATATTGTCGTGTTGGGCGCCCGGGACCACATGGAATAAAGGGCAATGTGGGTCCTCCAGGAGGAAGAGGCTTAAAAGGAGAAAAAGGCAAGTAGGAACCTAAGGCAGAATTTCTCTAGGACAACCACATGGCGAGAATTGGGGGTGGCATTTATGAGATATACAATGTGACATCACATTCAGATTTATTACTCCTCCTAGGTACACTCTTTTATGTGCTATGATGTGACTAAAAGTCACCAAAAAGTCAAAACTTTCTATGTTGGAGTATAAAGGAGACACTCAGCCTGCCGTGAAATTTATCCCCAAATGAGGACTTTGCATGGGGTCTCCCTGATTCCTCGAAAGTGGCACAGATAGCACAGTATTGATGTTTCATACCACCTTTTGTGGGTGGGCCCCATATCTCCCACATTTATCAAAAGTCAATTACAGGCTGGTGCCACAGCTCAATAGGCTAATCCTCTGCCTGCGGTGCCGGCACACTGGGTTCTAGTCCCAGTCGGGGCCCCGGATTCTGTCCCGGTTGCCCCTCTTCCAGGCCAGCTCTTTGCTGTGGCCCAGGAGTGCAGTGGAGGATGGCCCAAGTCCTTGGGCTGTGCACCCCATGGGAGACCAGGATAAGTACCTGGCTCCTGGCTTCGGATCATCAAGGTGTGCTGGCCACAGTGCGCCAGCCGCAGCGGCCATTGGAGAGTGAACCAACGGCAAAGGAAGACCTTTTTCTCTGTCTCTCTCTCTCACTGTCCACTCTGCCTGTAAAAAAAAAAAAAAAAAAAAAAAAGTCAGTTACTCTGTGTTTTCCATTCTAAATTGTTCAGTGTCTTTTTGACCTGAGGTTGGTTGGGTATGAGAATACAAACACAGCTGAGGAGTATGACTTTCCTACAGGTGTGTTAAGACTGACATTCCTGGTGATTAGCAAATGCCTTGTGGTGAATTTTCAACTTTAAATGCAATGAAAATAATGCTCTCTCAAATAATATTTTGTATCCCTAACCATTCAGGGTTTATGCTCTAAGCAATTTATTTTATTTATTTTAATTTCATTTGGTTTCTTCAGTAAGGCCAATTTTAACTTTTAAAAATAACAAGTTGTTTCTTTAGTAGTATTTAGACATCAGCTGTTCCCCAGAATTTGCCAGGATGATTTTTAAAGTTTTATTTATTTATTTCAAAGGCAGAGTTACAGATCGGGGGGGTGGGCAGAGAGAGAGAGGTCTTCCATTTGCTGATTCACTCCACAAATGGCTGCAGCTGGGCCAATCCAAAGCCAGGAGCCAAGAGCTTCTTCCAGGTCTCCCATGTGGGTGGCAGGGGCCCAAGGAATTGGACCACCTTCCACTGCTTTCCCACGTGTATTAGCAGGGACCTGGATTGGAAGTGGAACAGCTGGCATTCAAACCAGTGTCCATATGGGATGATGGCACCATAGGTGTTGGTCTTACCCGCTAAGCCACGGTGCCAGGATGATTTTTTTAAGGCACAAAACACTCCGCTTGTTGAGAAATAATAAACCCATCCCACATGTCCCCTGTCTGGATATCCCATACCGTGCCACACACTGCCCCAGCCCCCACTTCACATATTATCAAATGCCTGCATAAGAATTGTACACATCAGATCATTTCTGTTCTTTGCACTGTTGGTATTGCATTAAGCAGTAAAGCTCTTGTTGAGGATTTTGTACAGGAAATATGACAAACTGCCTTTTATCTTCTGTCTAGGAGACGAAGGACTCTGTGCCTGCAGGCATTGTCCTGGGGGCCCCCCTGGGCCTCCAGGATCTCCTGGGAGGCATGGCAGTAAGGGGGACTTGGGACCCCCTGGTTGGCTTGGAGAAAAAGGTGATCCAGGCCCTCCTGGTGCTGAAGGATCTCCAGGGACACCAGTGAGTAACTCTTGCTTGTCACAGTCTTTCTAATTAAGAGAGACAGATACAGAATTCCATGTGCCTTTTTATAATTTATAGTGATATATATCTTAAGGTTTGAACCTATAATCATATTAATGACTAAAAAATCTGTATTAATTCATCTATCCATCCATCTATCCATCCAGTCATAATTCATTTATTCAACTAAGTAGTATTTATTGAGTGCTCACTACTTCCCAGACTCTTCCAGATGGAGTGGATACAAAAGGGAGCAGAAATCAGTCTCCCCTTGGAGCTTCAGAGAGGACACAGACTAGTATGACAGGTGGTGACAAAGCCCATCACCATCTAGTGTGGCATGAGTGGGGAGAGTGAGGGGAAGGACAGGAACAAATGAAGTCAAAGAGAAGGCTGGAGCCTAGGAGGGGTTACAGAACATAGGGCTTTATAGGGCTTTTTTATAGGGTCAGATCTGAGTATTTACTCTGGATGACATGGAACAACTTGGGGGGTCTTAAGGGGAGGGAGGAAGGGAAGGAGACAAAGAAAATGAATCTGGGTTTAGTTTTAAGTGTATCACTTGCTCTGTGGTCCAGAGGGACAAGGGAAGAAGCAGGGGAATGAGCTGGGAGGCTGCTGAGTAGAGCTGGTAAGATGCTGTGGCAGATAGAGTAATGTGGAGTACTGGCTGTAGTCAGAGGTGGTCAGATTCTAGGCATATTTTAAAGATAGAGCCAACATACTGGTTGTTGGATGGGGCATAGGATACAAGAAAAAGAGACAGAGGACAGAACCAAGAGTTTTGACCTGAGCCATTGGAAGAAGGCAGTTGTCATACACTGAAATGGAGAAGGCATCAGAAGTACAGGCTCTGGGGGGAGGAAGCAGTCTTGTTGGGACATTTTAAATTTGAGGTGCCCATCAGACCAGCACATTGAGAGGTTAAGTGGACAGTGGCAGTCAACTGAAAGATTCCAAGGAGAGAGCCAGAATAGGAATGTGAATCTTGGCTTTCTCGATTGATGTGATGGTTAGTGCCAGAGAGTGCATGAGCGCTGATGGTTATCAATGACTCAGGTTGAACCACAGCCTTTCAGCTACCCGGTCCCTCAGAATACAGTCACTGCCTCTGGGTCACTTCTCTAGGGGCTGGGATGGCTCTTCTGTCCTCTCCTTATGAAAGAGGCTCAATCCATGGGCAACTTGGAGCCTAGCTATCTCCCAGAAAATCTCAGCCCTATCCTTGTCAAATGTACAAAGCACACTTGCAAAGTCTACTCAATAGGATGCTAGGCTGTTAATGCCCAGGGATTGAATGAATATGGTTGCAGTTATTAAGTAGTTTGCTATTATAGTCTTTTTAAATTCAACATTCTGCAATGGTCATTTTGGGTGTGTGTTGCTACTTAAATTTCTTAATGAAGATTATAATGGTTCTGAGATATCTTTATGGTTTTGTGTGGAGTTTCTTCCCAGAGCTGACATCTTTGAGTACGCACCAGTAGTTTACTCAGGGTTATCATGGATGAAGTTCACTTAATCCACTTGTTCTAGGGCTTACCGTTTTTTAGACAGACAATATTTCTGATGTCTTTGTTTTGTATGTGATTCTGTCCATGTAACATCTCTGCATTAAAATCATTACATTGTGGTCATAGTTGAGGACCAGGATCACACCATTGGGTTCTGTGAATGGGAATGGAAAGGAAGCAGGAAGGTGTCGCTCCCCCTCTTCGTGGAGGAACGACACAGGACCCTGCGCTGTTCTTTCGTCTGCTCGGCCCTCCCCGGGTTTGCTGCTGGTTCTTCCCGGGTTGGCTACTGTCCCTTCCACCTCCGTGGAAGGGCAGTTCCCCTTGGCCACATTCCCCACTTCCGCAGGGGAGCGGCACACCGCCGGCCGGCTCTCTCGGGGGCTGCACAGGTGTTCCCCTTAGATGTTCCCCTTAGATGTTCCTGGTGCATGCCGTCTCTCTCCTCCTTTATAGTCCTCCTCCGCCAATCCTAACTCGGCTGCCCACACGCCGAGTACGCTGCTCTCCTCCAATCAGGAGCAAGTCCTACAGTTTATTGGCTGAACTGGAGGCAGCTGTGCAGAAGCTGTTTTCTTCTCTCCCAGCGCCATATTGTGGGAGAGCAGATGCATAGAATAAGTCTTAATTCCAGTAACAGTCTAGTCCGGGTTGCTCCCCACAGGAAGGCACAGAAAGAGCAGGAAGGAATCACAGAAAATCCCTACTGGGTGCTCTCCCACCTCCTCAGCTGCTGGTCCCTGACCACAGTAGCCACAGAATGGTAGGGAAGTAGAAAACAGAGCAGTAGACTTAAAGTCTTTGCTTTTTTTTTCTTTGATTGAACCAAGTTTTTGTATTCATTGCCTTGGCCAGGGAGTACTCCGTGGGGTGGGGTTTCCCATCAAGATGCTACCCTGCAAGGCACTTGGGCCTGGGGCAAGCAGACCCGGCTTCCTGTCTTCATCTCTTGACATCTGTGTACTCCGGGGTCTCCCTGAGCTTCAGTCTCATCACTTACAAAATGGATAAAACATTGTTCACCATGTGGGTTGATGGGTAAGAATTGTTTGGTAATACATTTTCAGAGCTATCAAGTACATGCCAGTGAATGAGAAGCCAGGGTCACTTCCCCTGAAGAGTTTGCAGGGCAAACTCAAGTGCTCAATCCAAACTGCCTGGGTGTTTGTTTTGGATTATGAACATGAGATTTATGGTTTCTCTTGAGAAATGGGAAGTTAATGAGCACGAAGTTAGTGTGTTCTCACTGCTGCAGTGGCTGTGCCTGTCAGGGCAATTGTAAGGCTTCCAGTCCCCACTAAGCCCAGCCACCTGTTTCCCTGGAGGGTGTGGCCTCTGGGGAACCTGCGGCTGCAGTCTCTGATCCAGACTGTGTATGAGGCATCTTGTACATGTCTGGTGGAGAGGAATTTTTGTTGCTGTGAGGCTTTTGTTTTTATATTAACAAAAATCTTTAGTGACCTTGAGCCTTAGAATTGTGAAAAGTAGCCCTAAATCCCAAAGCTGCTAAGTTTTGCTCCAGGAATCTCTTTGGTTAAACATTTGTTTCGCTAGAACTTAAGCTCCACAAAGGCACTGTATCCTCAGTACTCAGGGTGATGCCTGGTAACTTGTAGTTCTCGAAAATGTTTCTATGATGAAATCCAAAGCAGCAGTGGCGATTTCGCTTTCTCATGGGCTCAAATGATTCTATAGTCTGACTCTAGTACTTGAAATTCTGCATCTCTAGACCATTAGAGCAATTCTCAGTATAGTCTCCATCTCCAATGCACTCAATAATAAGCTTCCTGGCTTCCAGGATGTGGTCATTTTTTGATGGTACCATGATGTTTTTTTCAAGCATGCTACTGTAGCCCTTTTTTTTTTTTATGTGAACAGCTTTCTGTCCTGATAGTTAATCCTTCAGAAGAGTATTTTTTTCTTTATCTCTTGGATGAAGTCCTAGGTGCCATACACTTGGGTGCATTCCCATTGTTACTTATGATTAGGCATATACAATAAAATAAGAATTAAAACAACAATCCACAGTAGCACATTATGATACCTAAAGTCCCTGTTCTCTCTAACTTACCTATTTGTACTAAGAAATTTGTCCTATCCATGTTTCTGCTGTCTCACAGACATTGTTATAAACAGGATGCTGTACTGTACTGACATTCTACAGGATACTAAGCAGAGTGTGTGGAGCTATTTTTTTTTATCAACATTGAATGGCTCCCAACCATTTTATCCTGTTGTGCTTTTGCACTTGTTGTGTACAATTTTGGCATCTTCATCATTATGTGCTTTAGGCTGCCACTGAGTTTCTCTGTACTGGTGCCTCTCTTCCTCTTTATAAATAGCTCACAGCTTATACATGAGTCTGAGGCAGTTAAAAAGGTAATTATACTTATTTGAACACATTGTTAGATTGTATGAAAATAAGAAAAGCAAGCAGCATCTGTGTGAGCCAAGCCGAGTTTGCTCATTTTTACCCCTGCCAGATGCCTGGCTGTGCTTTTTTATTGCTGAGGTCACTAGATATGCAAACTTAAGCTGTGTGGAGTGTTTCTGTAACAGTGTTTGGTATGATGCTTAGCTTCTCCACTGTGTCAACAGTGCATTTCCAAATTGTTATGTGGTTTTAGTATTCAATGATATGTAACACTTAGAAAGCACTGTTCAAATAATCCAGTCTCAGAGAAATGCTTAGTTCAAAAGATGATGAGCTTATCAACCAAAATTAGTTATTTTTAGTTATTTACTCATTTGCAGGAGAAATATATTTGCTACAACAAAGGCCCTATTTTCCCTTCTCTCCCTAATCAGTTTCTCTTATCTCATTATTTCCATGACTTATTAATCACACACTTATCCCTAAATGTCTACCTGTAGTTCTTGTGGTTAACTTACCTTCCCTTTCTCTTTCAATTACACATTAAAAAGCCCAAGGTAATTAAACTTTTTTCATTGTAAATTTTTATTTGAGATAGTTCAAGACTCACTAGAGGTAGCACAGAGAGATCCCATGTACTGTGTTCCTAACTTCCCTTAATGATATATAACCACAGGACATTGACACATTTCTATTGCTTTTAAGATTTATTTATTCATTCATTCATTTATTTTTTTAAACTTTTACTTAATAAATATAAATTTAAAAGTACAACTTTTTTTGGTTATGGGGGGGGCTTTTCCCCCCATAAGCACCCTCCCACCCTCAGACCACCCCATCTCCTACTCCCTCTCCCATCCCATTCTTCACCAAGATTCATTTTTAGGGATGGGACAGGGAATGGGAGATGGGATGGTCATGGGTGGGAGTGAGGTTATGGGGAGGAAAAGCTACTATAATCCAAAAGTTGTACTTTGGAAATTTATATTTATTAAATAAAAGTTAAAAAAGATTCATTTTTAATTATCTTTATATACAGAAGATCAACTTAGTATATACTAAGTAAAGATTTCAACAGATTGCACCCACACAGACACACAAAGTATAATATTTATTTTTTGAAAGGCAACTACAGAGAGAGAAAGAGAGAGAGAAAGAGAGAAAGGAGAAAACTATCCTTCCACTGGTTTACTCCCCAAATTGTAACAGCCAGGGCTGGCTGAAGCTAGAAGCCTAGAACTCAATTTGGGTCTCCCACCTGGGAGGCAGGGGCCCAATTACTTAGCCATATTATACTGATATCTTCCCAGGTACATTCGTAGGGAGCTGGATCAGAAGTGTAGCAGCTTAACCTGTTGTGCCACAATGCTATCCCTGACACATTTCTAATAATTCAGGTATAGGCCTTGTTCAGATTTTACCAGTTGTTAAATGCAATTAAAGAGTTTTATAAGATGGAACCCCTTGGAAAGCAGGGAAAAGAAAGAGACTGAGAATACCAGGAATCTTTAATAAGATTTGAGAGGGAAGAAGAAAAAGATTAGATACACAAAAATGAGAATAACTTCTGACCCATCACGATTAATCTAATTACTTGCTTTGATTTTTTCATCAAGGGAAAACCTGGTGCCTCTGGACCACCTGGCAACAAAGGAGCAAAGGGTAACATGGTTGTACCAAGAGTTAAAGGTGAGCATGATCCATCACATAGCATCCTGTCATTTTATGAATGACTTATAGACCATTCTCTTGCACTAATTTCCCCTGTGACTATGGATCAATTCTGTATAACTTACAATTGTTGAAATTGCTTAAAAATATTCCCTATCCTCCAGAAGCTATATTAACATTGAGCTTCAACCCCTCACACATCTCTTATTTGCAAAGAGAAATGGTCCTTTGTCATAGGTTCAAATCCTCTTTGGAGTGAACTTGGGTTTGAAACAAGACCTCCTGGCTGGCGCCGTGGCTCAATAGGCTGATCCTCTGTCTTGTGACGCTGGCACACCAGGTTCTAGTCCCAGTCAGGGTGCTGAATTCTGTCCCGGTTGCCCCTCTTCCAGGCCACCTCTCTGCTATGGCCTGGGAGTGCAGTGGAGGATGGCCCAAGTGCTTGGGCCCTGCACCCCATGGGAGACCAGGAGAAGCACCTGGCTCCTGCCTTCGGATCAGCGTGGTGCACCAGCTGCAGCGCCACTGAGGGTGAACCAACAGCAAAGGAAGACCTTTCTCTCTGTCTCTCTCTCTCACTGTCCACTCTGCCTGTCCAAAAAATAAAAAAAAAAAAATAAAAAAAAAAACAAAAACAAACAAACAAAAAAAAAACAAGACCTCCTTTCTCTTGCCTAGGGTTTAGTCACTGTGTGATTCTTTGGTTGTAATTGATTGAAACTCAATTTACAGTAATTTAGGGGAAGAATTAATTTATTCACTTTACTAATCAAAATGTGAAAGGTCAGATGTAGGATTTATACCAAGACAGTCTGATCATCTGATCCAGGGCTTCTACTGGCATCAGGACCTCTCTTTGCATCTTTCATATTTCCTTGAGCTGTCTATAGTTTCTCTTGCTAGACTGATTTTCTCTGGGCTGTGGAGTATATGCTCCTAGGCAACTCCAAGTTCTTATAAGCAAAGATAACAAGAGCTTTACTTTGTCAGTTCCACTTAGAACAGTAATTTCAGAAAGGATTGATTAGCTTAGGGCAAGTGTGTACCTATAGACCATAATTGTTTCCCATGGCCAGGAGAATGTTTGGCATCCCACAGGCAGGGGAAGATTCTGTGACTAGCACCTCCAGATGCCACCTCCCAGGGAAAGAACGTTTCCCCTCTGGCTTTGGAATGGCTTGTATGACTTTGGGTAACTGAAGTATTCAGGGGAAACTCTACCAACTCACACAGAGTAGAGTCCAGGCTACTGTCCCTACTTTAGTCTCCAGTTTCTTTCTACCTCATCTCCTGCTGATATGAGTTTGAATATTTTTTGAACTCTATTTCCAGGGCACAAGGGAGACAGAGGACCTGATGGGCCACCAGGATTTCCTGGGCAGCATGGACCACATGGTTGGGATGGACTTGGTGGAGAAAAGGGGGATCCAGGACCCCCAGTATGTATAATTCTTCTGCTATAGAATTTCATTTTCTTATATGGTCATACAAGTATTTTCCCCTTCTCAGTTTTCCAAGCTTCAACTCAGTAAAGTATCAACATCTTGTAAATCAGAGTCACCCTTGGCGCTCTGCTACCAAAAGTTCATTAAAGATATCGCATAATGGAAATGGTCTAAAATACTCAGTGCTATTCAGCCAAAGCAAGATTTTCTATCCTCTGTCTTTGTATCATTCTCATGGTATTTATTCATTCTGGAACTCTTGTATCTTGCCAAGCCCTGATGATATGCTGACTTTAGGTCTGTTTAATTGACTCTAAGGCAGATGACAGAGCACAGGATCTGATAACTAACTTCAATTCTGTTTCCTGGTTAAAAAAAATACCTAAGGGGAAGTAGCACGTAAGGATGGATGCACTAGAGCACGTTTACTAAATTGGTGCAATGCCTGATGGCAAATTCTACTGATAAATGATGTTTCTGTTTCTCAAACATGTATCCTGTGGAAACCATGAGTAGGTAATAAAGGTCTGAAGCAAAGAGTATGGAGCTTGATCCGAATGCTTGGGAACTTTAAGCACCTGAGATGTGGGAAGTTATTTTTGAAAGCTTAGCAACATCACAGGAATGGAGTTAGGTGTTTTATGAATGGCAGTCTTCGGAAGGGCAGTTATCTTTCCAATTGCACAGTAAGGAAGTGGAGGTTTGGGGCATGGGACTCAAGGTTACCTATCTATCAAGGAGGTTAACTAGGAATGAAAACTACAGTCACTCTTATTCCAAAGAACATGCTTTATCTACCAGACTGCCATGCCTAGTAGAGAAACATTGAGAGTGTTGAAATAAGGAAGAACCACATTCTGATTTTTAGGAACTCCTTCAGACAGAATACATGTGAATAAGCGATGGAAACGTGGATGTTGGGTTTGATGATGTGTATACCTTTCTGACCATTTGGCTGGTGTCCAATACAGGGATGACCTCTGCTTTAGGCATGATCTTCTTTGTTTAATTCATTCTTTCACTTAAGAAACTGTTTAGAACCCAGTGTCACTGAGGAGTAATTGTCCTAATAGACTCATCAAATTTTGAAAAACCAATGTGTGTTTACAGATTTAATGGGAGAGGAATTTCTACAATACTCGCACAATACTCACTGGGGTTTTCTTAGGTTCATTGAAACAACCCAGACAAGTGTGTCATAAACCACAAGACACTCAGAAAACTAGAAAATATGAACCTCAACTTGTCAGCAGGGCAGTGTCAGGCATTCCTTGCATTTGAGAGCCCTTATTCATTCAGTTGGGACATAAGAAGTTGAGATCCACACATGGCAGATGTGGGAGCAGCCCTAACCTCAAAGCCTCATTCCCTATAATAGCTGTTATCTCCATAACACAGTTATGCGTGACCTTCAAGGGACTTACTGGTTATAGAAGCCACTACTCAAGCTTTCCCCAATAAGGACTCCACACAGACCTTTATAGCTCTCTCAGATCCAATGCAAATTTTGCAAATAGGTATCCATCATACCATAAGTTGTGTTGCTTAGGAATGTTGGAGATGTTTTTATCAGTTTTTATCAGTTTCCAGAGACCAGTTAGCCAAAGGCCAACTTCTCACACAGGAGAGATGATTTGCTAGCCCTTTAACCCACTGACATGGGGAGTGATAGAATTTATGTACACACCTTCTCATAACAATCCAGGAAAACAATCTCAAACACATAAGAACATATTCAATTTGTAAGCCCATCACCTCACTTGATTTAGTTATTTCTGTATTTTATATTTGATATCAGAGAGTGGTTCTACCTAAAGTGTCTTATTCTACATTTAATACATAACATATACATCCATATCATAGATATGTATCACACTTGTGAAATATTAGGAAGAATCTATGTTGAATGTTTTGAATTACACTAGCTACAGAGGAAATGTCTCCTGTCATTGTAGACCCTTTGGTTTTCATGTTTATAGTGATTATTTTGAATTTGCGTACTTCCAAAGATTGGTAACTAACTCATGATATAAACATTCCAGGGGGATCATGAAGATGCAGTCCCAGGTGGTAAAGGGTTTCCTGGACCTCCAGGCCCCCCTGGGGAAGCAGGAGTCATGGGGCCTCCTGGCATGGGATTTCCTGGTTCATCGGGAGAGAGAGGTCAACCAGGAGCTCCAGGCCACCCAGGCATGAGGGGTCCTGATGGCTTGAAAGGTCAGAAAGGTAATTTTGAGTATTTTTATGGCAGGATATCAAATGAAATCATGGAAGTTAAGGTGAGTCTATTCTGCGACATGTTATAGTTGTGGTATAACAGCCAAATATAATTCCACAGTCATGATTGAAGTGTTGAACATTTTCAAACAAATAAAAGGTATATAGCATAGTCATTATTTAAAGCAAATCCTTAAAATGCCAAGATATCGTCATTGTTTATTTGTTTGATATACCAAAATGCTTTTTATTCATTTCTCAGTATCAACTCATATAATTTGACTGTATTAAAAATTGCATATCTATTTGAAGTATCTTTTTCACAATCCTTGAGGTAATGATGTATCTTTTAATTTTTAAAAAAATCTATCATTTCATTTAAAAAATTGTCCAGGAAAAGTAATTTGTTAGCATTCTAGAGGGAAAACACTTTTAAATATATTCATATATGACAGTTATATAAATTTCAAACAATAAAGTGACTCTTAGGTTTATAGCTAAAGACTTTTAAGAAGATGGCAGAAAAAAAGTTTAAGATTTTTAAGACTAATAATAAGTATGTATACTTTGGGCTAAGTTGTTCATTGTAAAATTTTAGAATACAGTAAAATGTTTATATTTGGTTTGCCAACATAGAAAGACAAATTCCTTAGCATTTGATGAGATGTAAATTAATGGTCCAGAACCCAGCAAAATATTAGCATTTTTATTCATCTCATATGTCTTTGATTTGAGATCATATAAAGCAGTATATCATGAGACATTATGGCTCTTCAAATAGTTCATGAAAAATGCATATTACAAAAAGAAATTATACATGATTGATAGCTTGAAGGGTCAGAAAGGTAATTTTGAGTATTTTTATGGCAGGATGTCAAATGAAATCATGGAAGTGAAAGTGAGTCTATTCTGGGAGATGTTATAATTGTGGTATAACAGCCAAATAAAACTAAAACTTACCTTTTAAATATTTATTTATATGAAATGCAGAGAGAGAGAAAGAGAGAGAGAGACAGAAAAAAACACACAGAAATATGCTGCTTCACTTCCCAAATGCCCACAACAGCTAGGCAAGGCTGTGTCAGGCTGAGGCAGGAGCCTCGAACTCAAAATGAGTCTCCCATGTGAATAGCAAAGACCTAAGTCATTGAGTCATTCCCTGTGGACTCTCAGGGGATGCATTAGCGGGAAGCTGGAGTCAGAAGCAGAGCCAGGACTTGAACCTAGGTTCTGTATGGTGCACGGGCATCCCAAGTGGCCGTGTTAACCACTGCACCAATCTGTTGCCTCAATAAACTTGTCTTTTAATTCCATTTTTCCCCACAGACTCTTTGAAACCCCCTAATATTATTTCCATTATAAAAGAGAAACACAGTTTTAGGAGATGCAGATGTAAAGGCACAAGCATTAATCTTGTTGGCCCCACCATCTGAAATGGGGGATGTTAATAATTATACTACCAAGTGGTTAGAAACACAGGAGACTGTGGATCCTTGGCAGACTCCCAGAGTGTTTCCCTTTTACTAATACCCAGGTCAGTCTCCTCATGTGCACAATTACCCTTCATTCAAACAAGAAGCCATGTTTTCTGATGCCACTGTTGGATGTTTGCTGTTGTTTTGTGGCTTATCAAGGTTTCTGATGCCATTCATTGTGTTAGCTGTCCATGGGCCCATACATACATTATTTTTTCCAGGTTATTAGAACAGATACTTCTCAGAATCAACATTTTCCTTAAATCCATTTTTTTGTAGCTGTCTGGATAATTGAAATTCAGATTTCAGGAAAGATCTAGAAATTTGGTATAAAAACAGGTTAAGTGATCTAGTGATACAGAGTCTTTTCTTGTAATTGTGCATAAACATTATGAAAAAGTCCTCATGCAAGTTGTCTTTGAAAGTAACATTACATTGGCCTATCAGTTATGTGAATATTACCTTTTTTTTTTTTTTAAATTCCAGGTGACACAATTCTTTGTAATATAACCTACCCCGGTAGGCCAGGCCTTCCCGGATTTGATGGACCTCCAGGTACTATCAATAAGTTACTGTGTTGCACACTTCCATAGTAGAAGAATTAGAAAGACTGATAAACCAGTAGCAAACCCTCAGCTCATTAGATCATTTCCAGAATTATTTTTAAGGTTTTGAAGCACTATGAGCCTAGGGGGAAAATTTTGTCATAATTCACTGTTGGGCTAGAGTATACTAGTTTGAAGATACTCCAGATGGCCTTTTCAAATCTCCATGCAAAAAGTTTACTCTGATTTGAACACATATTAATTAAGTGTTTGCCATTTCAAAGCTTTAAAACTATATCTTCGGCGGGCACTGCAGCTCACTTGGCTAATCCTCTGCCTGCGGCACCGGTACCCCGGGTTCTAGTCCTAGTTGGGGTGCCGGTGCTGTCCTGGTTGCTCCTCTTCCAGTCCAGCTCTCTGCTGTGGTCCAGAAGGCAGTGGAGGATGGCCCAAGTGCTTGGGCCCTGCACCCGCACGGGAGACCAGGAGGAAGCACCTGGCTCCTGGCTTCGGATTGGTGCAGTGCGCCAGCTGTAGCAGCCATTTGAGGGGTGAACCAATGGAAGGAAGACCTTTCTGTCTGTCTGTCTGTCTCTCTCTCTCTGCCTAACTCTGCCTGTCAAAAAAATAAAAAATAAAAAAAAACACCTATATCTTCTTTCTACTCCTGTGCCCCAAGATTGATGAAAAATGACCACTTGCTTACAGATTATATGTTAGCTCTATTCTGCTTTCCAAGAGAACCAATTTCCCACCAGAAGTGACCTGAAAAATGGCCACGCATCTAGGTTCCTGACTGCTTCATCCACCCCTTCATTTGAATCAATCTCTTGTTTTTAGCTGATTTAAACCCAGTATCCACAGAATGAATTTTGCCCAGTTTGTTTTTATTTCTTCTGGGTTTACTTAAATGTATCCATTATTGAGTACTAGCATAGCTATTCAAGGAACTTTTCTTGTTCTACCTAAATACAAAAGCATTTAAAGGTTCTATGATGAGGGACGCTCTACTGCCTTCGATAACCACCAGTTTTCATCACACTAGTGCTGTGTGACAACCTCAAGTCTCAGTGGGTCACAAAAAGCACTTTTTTCTTCCTGATGGGTCTTCAGGTGGGTGGAGTATCAGCTGATCTGAGGTGGTCTATTGGCTTAGTCTCTGGCTCCAGGTTACATTTGGGTCTGCAACATGCATCCCATTTTGGGGTCAGGATGTGTCCTTTTCATGAGATTGCAGAGATACACGAGGGCAGGCTCAGCTTCAACAGGTCACTTCACATCTCAGATTGCATAATGGTCATTTGTATCCCACTGGCCAAAGCAAGTCACATGACTGAGCCCCAGGTCAAAGGACAGGAAAATACAGTCCACCCTTCCCAAGGCAATGGCAAGAGTGTGGCAGCACAATTTTATATCAACAGAATGAAGGATTACTGGCCTACTGATTGTTCATTTTTACTTTTACTGGTATCTTGCCATGGTTGGATAAAAAAAACTTGATTACTTTCAGAGGTTTTATTCTCAAGGAAATTAAACCTCAAACTTTATATTTGTAACTTCTTTGAGATTCATCATTTACAAAATCCTAAAATCACAAGTTTTTTGAACTCAATTCCTTTTGTAGGTACTTATAGTCAACACTGTGTTCAAAGATAAATTCACTACAAAGCCAGGAAATTGATTTTGGCCTCTACTCTGGTGCTTTCTGGTCAGGTTAGACCAGAACTGGCCAGAACCCTTGCCTTCCTACAGGGACAGACTAAGCTTGCAGATTTGTGTTTGGGATCTAGTGTGGGAAGGTGGTACACATGCCAGAGGTTTCAGGAAGAATCCTTCCTGATGCGGTTTCTGAGAAATGACCCTGACAAAACCACTCTCCATCAAATATTTATTTAGAGCATATGCTCATAACATGATCTGGTAAACCAGGATTGGCAGCATTGCTACTTGCACAAAAGGGAAATAATCTAAAAAGGCAGCAGGGGCTTTGCTTTTGAATCTCATTTGTTCCCAGTTGAGTTGTGTTTAACTGAGTCTGGGTTTTGTTGTTATTGTGTAGGTCTGAAAGGGTTCCCAGGGTTCCCTGGTGCTCCTGGGCCGAGATGCTTGGATGGACAGAAAGGCCGGCGTGGCCCTCCAGGAAGGTCAGAAATACCAGGTCCACCCGGTAAGTGGAATGCTTTTCCTGCTTTGGGACTACCAGCCACTTTAAAATATTTCTGAAAGGGCATAATTTTTATAAGGAAACAGCCCAGAGATCTTCACATATTGGGAAAATGGTTTTTATTTTGGTAAAGAGAGAGAGAGACAGAGAGAGACATATAGGGAGATCTTCCATCTGCTGGTTCATTCTCCAAGTATCTACAACAGCCAGTTCTGGGCCAGAACTAAGCCAGAAGCCAGGACTTCCATCCAGGTTTCTGGCATGAGTGGCAGGGATCAAAGTACTTGAGTTATCACCTACTGCCTCCCAGTGTGCTCAAAGCTGGAGCAGAGGTGGAGGCAAGACTCTATCTCAGGCACTCCAATATGGGGTGTCGGCATTCGAAGCAGCAGCTTAACCTGCTGACCCACAACCCCTGCCCATTTTGCTGTCTTGTGATAACTCGAATATTATCATAGCTTTATGTTTCCTAGAAGTACAAGTTATAAGCTGTTACTAGTGTACCATGTTCTTCAAACTGCTCAGTCTAGGCAGCATGTATAGCAGAGAGTGCAAGCTTAATTAGGGAAGCATCAGTTTATCTTTGTATAAAATGGGGCAAAAATAGCACTGCTCATTAAGCTGCTCTGAGTTTTAGTAATATTCCTGTAATTTTTAGAAATGGATCTTTCTCAATGTATTCATACACACACACACACACACACACACATTATACCTGTACATGTAACAACTTAAAAACTTGTTTTGTTAAATAGGTTTTCGTGGTGATGTGGGAGATCCAGGTTTTGGAGGTGAAAAGGGGTCCTCTCCTGATGGGCCCCCAGGCCCTCCAGGGCCATCTGGCATGAATGGTCAGAAAGGAATCCCAGGAGACTCTGCGTTTGGTCACCCAGGCCCCCCAGGAATCAGGGGTCTTCCAGGAGAGCCAGGGACTAAAGGACCCAAAGGTCATCCAGGACATTCCGGGGCTGAAGGTATGAGGGCTCAGCTGTCCACAAATTCAACCAACATTGGATCAAAAATATGCTTTAAAAAAATTACACCTGTACTGATCATGCACAGATTTTTTCTTGTCATTATTCATAGATAGCACAGTATCACAACTATTTACATAGTATTTATATTATATGTATATTATAAGTATATTATATGTATATTATAAGTAATATACAGATGATTTAAGTTATATAGGATGATGTACATAAGTTGTATGCAAATTATAGGCCATTTTATTTGAGGGACTTAAATCCTCAGATTTTGGTATCTGCACGGTGTCCTGGTACCAACTTTGCTCAAGGATCTTACATGGCAACTTGTAAGTCCAGATATTCACATTCAGTTACACAACAACATGGGAAGTAACAAGATAACACATATGCAAGTCAATAAAAATAATTTTGACCCAAGTTATCCCACTGTTTCACTTGCAAAATGTACTAAGGGAAGTGGTTGGCAGGAGAAAAATATTATAGATAGGAAAATAATGTTGGAGTAATATCTCCAGCAGAGGAAAAATTGGAAATAATACAGAGTTAAGTAACACACACACACAAACACCGGAATACTTTTTACATACTTGTAAAGATGACAATACATAAAGATTATCTATAGATTAACATGCAATGTTAAATAATTCAGAAATTGTGCATTGTAATTACTATTTTGAAAATGTAAACATACAAAACAAAGTACATGAAAAATGAAAAAATAAAATAGGTTCTTAGATTACGATGTAGAATTAATTATGGAAGATTTATTTTTCCTTCTGAAGATTATGACGCTGTCTTTCCAACAAACAGAAATTTGAGAGTGCAAATGATGAAATCTCTTACAAAATGTGGATTCATACAGTACAAACAAATTTGCCAATATCGTTAAAATTTGGTGTAAGGCCTGTTACAATATTAGAGGTTAATTAAAATCAGGTTTCTTATTTGCACAGAAAACTTCTTTGTAATCCACATAACCTTCTCAAGGAACTTAGCAATTTGAGATATTTTCCATTCATCTGGAGCTCACTAGATGTATGATTAAAAAAAGAAAAAACTCATTCAGAGATTTAACTCATTTGAGCCCTAAGTCAGTATCACAATATTTACTTCCAGTATTGATATGCATGAATCACTTGCTGTAGGCGTCTGCACAGCTTTATACCATGAGTGTCTTGGAAAGCTTGTATCCTTTCAGGGGCAGCTGGCCTTCCAGGATTGCCGGGGCTCAAGGGTCCCAAAGGCAGAGAAGGTAGAACTGGATTTCCAGGGGTCCCAGGAATACCTGGCCATTCCTGTGAAAGAGGCACTCCAGGGATTCCAGGACAACCAGGTCTCCCCGGTGCTCCAGGCAGTCCAGGTAAGTGACAACTGGGAAGGCTCTGGAGTTGACCTCACCTGCAGAGAGCTCACCTCTTGCTTTCCCCAGGATGCTGGCAGAAGCAAGAGTCCTAGGTCAGAGACAAAGGACTTTGTTCCCATCAGTTCCTTGTTGGTTTGTGTCATTTCCTCATGGCATGTAAGTTCCATGGGGGTGACGTAAGTGGAGCTCGCTGGGTGTCACTGGTGCGTTGGGTTGCATTCTCTGGGAGGAGCACTGAACTGTAAACTGGAAGTTTACAGCAGCCTGCAAGAAGCCTGCCTTATATTTGGGGGGAGGCACTATATCATCTGTCAAAATCATTCATTATAAGTACAACCTTGAGAAATAGCCTGGTGAAAAGCATTAGGACCTTGCATTCTTGGCATACCCAGCAAAGTCAGGTAGGAGTGAGAGAGATCTATGAAGGCGTCTCTCAGCACAAAGTATTAAATGACTGTCTTAGTCCATTTGGGTTGCTCTTACAAAAGACTAGGCAATTTATAAACAGAAAGGCAAAGGTTCCAAGATGGCAGAATAGTGACAGGATGGTCCGACTCATGCAGGGCAACATAAATATTTAAAAAGGGGAGAAAGTACATGCCTAAGGTAAAACCATGGGAAATCTGCAGTAGGAAACCCAGCAAAAACAATAGAGATAGTCCAGGTCCATACCGAAAGAGCAACTACACATCAAAAAAACAGCAGTCACTTAGCCATGGGAAGGAGAAAGCTGGCCCTGGCAGACCAGGTGAGAGGGGAATCCACAGGCCCATGGTGCTGCAGATAGCAGCAGGAGGGAGAGTTTGGTGAAATGCTTTTGAAGTTCCATGTGAGCCCCTTGGGACAGCATACAGGAAGAGAAGATAGATAGATAGATAGATAGATAGATAGATAGATAGATAGATAGCACCTCTCTTGCCTTCCCCCCAGTCATTTTTTTTTCTTTTTTTGGGGGGGTAGGGGGCGGTGCACAGGCAGGTGGCTGAGATTCCCACCTCACATGCATGTGCCCCACAATAGTGGGGGATGCCTCACCCACCACCCAAACAGCGAGGGCCACAACAATTCAGAAGAATTTCTTCCCTATCCACACAAGCTATAGCCCACCAGCTGTACTGCACCAGTTTCCCAGCAACAGGAGGGGAGGGGAAGCCCCCCTTGGAAATCTACCTGAGCACAACCATAGAGCAGTGAGGACTCCAGTGGGTGGGGATCTGTGCACCCATGATCCACAGACCTAACCAGTGAAAAAACCCACCCTGGGATCTGAGTCTGAGAAAACAGTCACTGATAAGAGGAGGCAAAGTGTGGCTAGGCCCTGAGCAACTACAGAGCACTTCCGGCACCACCCAAGCTCCTTGGTTACCTATAGCAGCTCGTAACAGAGGAACGAACATCACAGGAAAGACTCCACAGATCAAGCAGTGCAAATGAGTGCTGGGCACACCAGGGACTGACACCAGGGTGTACTATAGCTGTGAGGAGAAGGGCAGGTCACACCAACAGAGGTGGCCATTCTCCTCCATCCAGATAACCAGAAGAGAGCTACCAAGCCCAAGGGGGTCTTACCTTGGATACTTGCTCCATCCTGGAATACTGAACAGAGCACCCTGGCCACACCCAGCACACACCATATGGTATTCACTGAAAGCATAGGCATCCCACTAAGCCACAGAGACACAGAATGAATAAAAGCACAAGACAATAAAAACATACATAAATGTTGAAAGACAAAGGAAAAAATTTAAATAAGAATAAGGAAGACACTATGAGCCTCCCAAAGGAACACCACAACATTTCAATATTAGAAGGTGAGGATGGGGGCCTGTACTGTGGCTTAGCGGGTAAAGCTGCCACCTGAAGTGCCAGCATCCCATAAGGGCACTGGTTCAAGTCCTGGCTGCTCCACTTCCTACCCAACTTTCTGCTATGGCATGGGAAAGCAGTGGAAGATGGCCCAAGTGCTTGGGCCCCTGCACCCACGTGGGAGTACCAGAAGAACCTCCTGGCTCCTGGCTTCAGATGGGCATAGCTCCAGCCATTGCAGCCATCTGAGGAGTGAACCAGTGGATGTAAGATCTCTCTCTCTCTCTCTCTCTCTGCCTCTCATCTCTCTGTGTAACTCTGACTTTCAAATAAAAAGTAAATATTTAAAAAAAAAATAAAGTGAGGATGAAGGGATTGAGGAAATGCCAGAAATGGAATTCAGAAAACTAATCATTGAATTACTTAAAAGCAATCAGAAACAAATTCATGAACTAAAGAAAAATATACATAATATGTATGAAAATTTTTCCCATGAAATTCAGATGTTAAAGAGAAATAAGAATGAAATAATAGAAATGAAGAATTCAATAGGTCAAATAAAAATGCAGTGGAAAGTCTTAAAAACAGAGTAGGTGAGGAAGAAGAAAGAATGTCCAAACTAGAAGACAAATCTCTAGAAATTTTATAGTCAGACCAAAAACAAGTAGAAGAAATTAGAAAACTAAAAAACACTGTTGGAGATCTACAAGATACTATCAAAAGACCCAACATTTGAGTCGTAGGAGTTCCTGAAGATGTGGAAGAGAGAAAAGATTAGAAGGCTTTGTAATGAAGTAATAACAGAAAACCTCTGAAATTTGGAGAAAGAAAGTGTCATCCAAGTACAAGAAGCACATAGAATTCCCAATAGACATTTTGTAGTAAAACTCTCCATAGTAAAACATAAAGAAACGACTCTAAAATATGCACAAGAGAAATCTCAGATTACACTCAGAGGAAACCCAATTAGACTCACAGAGGACTTCCCATCAGAAACCCCACAGGCTAGGAGAGAATGGTGATATAGAGTCCAAGTCTTAAGAGAAAAAAACTGTCAAACCAGAATACTGTATTCTGCAAAACTCTCATAAAAGAATTAAGGTGAAACAAAGACCTCCCATAACAAACAGAAATTGAAAGAATTTGTCACTACCCACCCAGCCCTACAAAAGATGCTCAAGGATGTGCTACATACAGATACACAGAAAGAGGGACATCAATACAAAAGAAGGTGAAGACAGAAAATCACCCAGTAAAAGTAAAAAGGAAACCCAAAGTAAAAAATAGGACTCCTATTGGAAAAACAGCAGGGCAAAGTTGTTACTTCACAATTTTTACCCTGATTGTAAATGACTTCAACTCTCCAGCTAAAAGACACAGACTGGCTGAATGAATTAAAAACAAAACCCATCTATTTGCTGCCTACAGGAAACACATGCTGAGTGAATTAAGCCAGTTCCAAAGGGACAAATATCATATGTTCTCCCTGATCGGCAACAACTAACTGAGCACCAAAGGGGAAACCTGCTGAAGTGAAATGGACACTGTGAGAAACAGTGACTTGATCAGCTCTTGTCCTGACGGTTGATGTACAATGTAATACTTTATCCATTTTAGTATTTTTTTTGTTCTAGTACCATTGGTTGAACTCTGTAATTAACACACAATTATTCTTAGGTGTTTAAATTTTAACTGAAAAGTGATCCCTGTTAGGAATTTGGAAAACATTATGCTGAGTGAAATAGGCCAATCCCAAAGGGACAAATACCAATTGTTCTCCCTGATAGGTGACAACTAACTGAGCACCAAAAAGAAAACCTGTTAAAGTGAACTGAACACTATGAGAAACAGTGACTTGATCAGTCCTCACCCTGACTGTTGATGAGCAACTTAATATGTTAATCTTCTTAGTATTTTTTTGTTCTACTTAATACTTTTGGTTGAATACTGTAATCAATACACAATTCTTCTTAAGTGCTGAAACTTAACTGAAAAGTGATCACTGTTAAATATAAGAGTGGGAATAAGAGAGGGAAGAGATGTGCAATTCGGGACATGCTCAAGCTGACTTACCTCAAACGGTAGAGTTAGAAACATACCAGGGGATTCCAATTCAATCCCATCAAGGTGGCATGTACCAATGCCATCTCACTCGTCCCAGTGATCAATTTCTGTTCACAATTGATCATAATGATAGGACTAAGAACCAAAGGGATCACATAAACAAGAATAGCATCTGCAAATACTAGCTGATAGAATAAAAAAGGGAGAGAATGATCCAACATGGGAAGTGAGATATACAGCAGACCCATAGAATGGCAGATGTACTAAACAGCACTCTGGCCTCAGAATCAGCCCTTAAGGCAGCATATGAAAGAGCTACCTGCACCTCCATTTTTACTGCAGCTCAATTCACAATAGCAAAGACATGGAGTCAACCCAAATGCCCATCAGCTGAAGACTGGATAAAGAAATCATGTGATATGTACACCATGGGATACTATACAGCAGTAAAAAAAAAAAATGAAATCCAATCATTTGCAACAAAATGGATGAATCTGGAAAGCATTATACTTAGTTAAATAAGCCACTTCCAAAGGGACAAATTCTACATGTTCTCCCTGACCTGTGATAACTAATAGGGCACCTAAAAGGCAACCTGTAGAAATGAAATTGACACTTTGAGAAGCAATGACTTTGAACATCCCTTATCTTGATTGTTGAGGAACAGCTTTTTATTTTTTATTTTTGTTTTTCTTTTTGTTTATCATATCTTCTTTATCTTTTTTCTTTCATACTAATCATTGAACTCTTTCCTTAACATAGTTAACCAGATGTGTATAAAGTTAATTGAAAATATATCTTAGTAAAAAATAAGAGTGAGAATAAGAAAGCAAAGAGGAAGGGGGATGGGAATGTGAGTGGAGGGTGGGCACAGTAGGAAGAAGTAAAAAGATCCTAAAGTTGTAATTGTGAAATGTATGAAGTTTGTAACTGCTTATCAGTATAGTTCTGCATATATTCCTATGAATCACTTATAAGGGTACAGTTTAAAAACTTGATATGGGACCTCAAATTCCCTTTTGCTGGCTGGTAAAAATAGCAGATTAATTATTATAGAGATCAAATGGATGGGATTAAGTGGTCAAGTGACCATATAGATAGGATCAAGTGTTCAAGTGATCATATAAATATGACTAAGTGTGTGGAAATAATAATAGAATTAAAAAGGAGTGAAATGCTCCAACATGAGAGCAGACTCATGTATGACAATCACTTTAAGTAGCACTCCAACCTCAGAATCAGCCCTTTAGGCATTCTGGTCTGGTTGGAAAGCCCAGGGGAGCATTTCAGGCATGGAAAACCAAGACACTGTGGCAAAAACATGTTCTACATAAAAGACCTCTGTGGGTGAGACTCCAGTGGAAAAAGTGGCCACCAAAGAAGGATGTACTTTTCTCTGAAGGCAGTAGAGACCTTCCACTTTGCTTATGGCCTTATCGAGCTAGTGGATCCAAAAGGCTTCCATAACCTCGGCAGCTCATGTCAAGAGCCTTGGGTGATCAGTGACATCATATATAAGTGTTAGTTGTTAAATAAACAACAAGAGTCATTGTGCAGTAACTTCCCATGCAAAATATCTGTCCCCAAAGAGTTGTATTATGAGACTTAATAGTAACACTTGTTCTCAAGGATTACTTCCTTTTAGTGTGTTAAGTGGAGGATATTCTTATGTCTCATAGTTATGTCTAAGAGCTTGTAAAAGATATATCATTCTTGGGTTCTTCTTTAAAGATAATTAAGTTTCTAAAAGGAAAGAAGGGGGAGGAATGAAGGGAAAAGAAGAAGGGGGAAAAAAGGAAGATTACCTTTGAGATGCAATAACTTTGAACTGCCCTTATCTGGACTGTTGAGGAACAGTTTTTTTTTTCTTTCTTTCTTTTTCTTTCTCAGACTAAGCATTGAACACTCTACCTAGAATAAAGTTAGTCCTCTGCATATAAATTTAAATGAAAATAGATCTTAGTGAAAAACAGGATAGGGAACAGGAGAGGGAAGAAGAGGGATGGGAGAGTGGATAGAAGGGCAGAATTAGTGGGAATAATTACCGTGTTCCTAATGTTGTAATTACAAGACACATACATACATAATACATACACACATACAGAAAGGCACTTCTTACAGCTCAGGAGGCTGGGACGTCCAAGATCAAGGCTCCAGATGGTCTGGTGTCTGGTGAGGAATCATGCCTCATAGATGGCACCTGATGATCATTTCAACATATGAACAGGATGGTAGAGGTAGGGTCCACGTAGGAAGTACATTCACACCATAGCAGGGCTATTTCCAATATGATCTTCATTCCACCATTCAGATTGTCGACTCTGCTATTCAAATATGATTGCTTTTATCCTTAGGCAGGAATATGGCCACTGGAAAAAAGTCAAAACAAGATTGGGACAAAACTTGCCTCTACAACTCTATTTTGAGTACCAATAATCCTACAATTCTTTCATCACAGTTAATGGCCTGGCTGAGGTTCTCTTGGCCAGAGCCTCAGAAAGTGCTGGGAAAGTTTTCTTCTTTTAGTCTTTCTCACTCAAGAAAGAAGATTTGTGTCCTTCGCCTCTAAGCCTTTTTTAAATCAAAAATATCTTTATAATCTTGATATTTCCTCCTGGGATATATTTATTCAGATGATCTGCTTTTCTTTCTATGGCATCCAAAAAAATATTTTCTTAGGTGTTAAGTTGCTACTGTTATTTTAGTCAATCAATAGTGTTTTATGTTTGTTTAATGGGTCGTAGATACATAATCTAGGCTACCAAGAGAGCTTTTCCTGACTGTGTGTGAAGCCAGTGTTGAGTCTTCCCACACCCTTGTTGCTCTTGTTGATATTGTCACTGTGGTTTCTCTCAGGTGTCCCAGGTTGGAAAGGGCCACAAGGAGATATGGGACCTCTTGGACCAGCTGGAATGAAGGGCCTCCCTGGACTCCCAGGACGGCCAGGGGCAGATGGACCCCCAGGCTCCCCAGGAATCCCAGGCCCTTTGGGGGAAGATGGACTACCTGGCTTTCCAGGTCCAAAAGGTGGGTTGCCCTTTTTTTTTTTTTATTTGACAGATAGAGTTAGACAGTGAGAAAGAGAGATAGAGAGAAAGGTCTTCCTTCCGTTGGTCCACTCCCCAAAATGGCCACTACAGCCGGAGCTACACCTATCTGAAGCCAGGAGCCAGGTGCTTCCTCCTGGTCTCTCATGTGGGTGCAGGGCCCAAGCACTTGGGCCATCCTCCACTGCCTTCCCAGGCCACAGCAGAGAGCTGGACTGGAAGAGGAGCAACTGGGACTAGAACCCGGTGTCCATATGGGATGCCAGTGCCGCAGGTGGAGGATTAACCAAGTGAGCCACGGTGCCGGCCCCGGTGGGTTGCACTTTTTCATTATTCCCTACCATTTAATAAACCTAAACACCATCTAGTGAAGCCTGTTGTATATGACTATACCCATAGAACTTGCTACTTTAGTCTTTCTCCCTTGTTCTTGTCCTCTCCTTTATTTCCAATGGCAGAATGTTCTGGAGTAGGTGAATGGAAAGAGGGGGTTGGGTAAGTTGGGTCCATAGGGCCCTTAAATCCTTCTGCTAAGAGGACTGGGTTTCACCTATGCCCTAGGGTCAGGGATATTGACTTTCAGCTTGGATGGCTCACTGCTCTAGTATCTACTCCAGTCCTCTTTTAGCATGAAGGCATCAGAATTCAGAAATACCAGGGCCTATACTGAAGGTCTATAGAGTGGAAGCCAGGACTGGGTGGGAGAGCACTTTTATTAAATAAAATGCAGGTGATACCTGCTGTATATTTTCAGTACAAACTCAGAGCTAGGTGGGACTTTACATCTGTAAGTCGATGGCAGGGAACACAGATAAAAGAACTCTACCAGTCCTTAAAATGTTTTCCTAAAAATGTATTTTCTCATTTTATCAGGACTCCAGGGGCTGCCTGGTTTTAGAGGTTTTCCTGGAGAAAGAGGAAGGCCAGGACCAGAGGGACCACCAGGCAGAAAGGGAGAAATTGGAGAGAAGGGTTTACCTGGTGGTCTGGGATATCAGGGCGCAAGAGGTGCTAAAGGTAAGCACATGGTGCCACATGGTGATGAGATGTGTGTTTGTTTTTAGTGTTGATCAGAACCTGTAGATCTGAACTTTGGAAAAAAGGGACTGTTCTACAACTAGGATCCCTCTTCCTTTTCAATTTCATAGTTTTGTTTTTAGTTTTAGAGTTTTATTCAAAATTCATTTTCCTTACTTCTCAATCTTATTATACATAATAATGGTAAGTGAATTAATTGCCCTGTTAATAGGTATCAATTCACAGGTGTTCCTTAATGCATTGATTTATAGCCTTTTGGCTTTCAGAAAACTTGGTCCCTTTTTGGGAGGGAGACACAGGAAATGCCTCCATCCCCAACCCCTGTTTCAATTAAACTTTTTTGTAAAGAGCTGATAGTAAATATTTCAGGCTTTGCAGTTCCTGTGGTCTCTGTCACAATAACTCTACTGAACTCTTGTAGCATGAAAGCAGCCATAAACAAAGCACAGAAACAAACATAAAACAAAAATTTTCAATAGCATTTTATATTAATGGACACTGAAGTCTGGATTTTCTGTCATGTTCACATGAGACAAATTATTTTGTGTTTTGAGTTTTATGTGCAATGCTTTGAGATGTTTCCAGCCATTGAAAATTATGAAAACCATTCATAGCTCATGGCTGTACAAGTGGCAGCCACCAGGATCTGGCCCCAGAGCTGTTGTGTTCTGATCTGTGCACTAGAAAGAGTTTAGCTGCACCATGAATAGGGCTTTCCCAAAGCTTCAGTTAAAGAAAGAATTTTCATTACTATAAAACTGAAAGCTTTCAAAACCACTTAAAGGTCCAGTGTCCAACCATGCTAAATGTTCACCTTTATTTCTGAGACCTGACCCCACAGTGAGTGACAGTGACATTTCTTTTCCAGGGTTGAGAACACGTGCTTGACAATTTTTAGAAACATTTTTGTCCTAAAAGCTCTTTGGGAAAACAGCCTCATATTTAACTCAAATTATCTTTTCTCCTTAGTTGATTGATTCTGCTCTTATTTTTTTGTTTTGCTGGCTTATAAATTATTTATGTAGACTCAAGGAATCAGAGTCAGTCTCAGCTAGCTTAGATAGTGATGTCTGCCTTGCTGTAATGTTATACAATTATCCCACTAGAATTTAAAAATGGGATCCATGCCAGTGATGTACTAGCAAACTAGCTCTCTAACATTTTTAAGTGCCCTGATTTGTAGTGTTTGATTGCTGTGGTGTAAATATTACTACCGTGGCACAAATACTCTCATTTCTTTAAAATGGACAGTGGGTTAACAACTTGCTAACAAAATCTTCAATTGTTCACAAACATCTCTTTCCAAGCTGGTATGAACTGATTTCAGCACCTGCTATAGCTGAGCAATGTCACAGAAACAGGCAGGATACCGTATACCTTTCCTACCTTGAGAACCGCATTGACATAAGTGTCTATTCTTTTAATGTAAAGAAAACAAAGGAGATGGGCAATTCCAATTTCATAGAATAAAGAGGAATTAATGTAAACCAAAACTTTTCAACCTGTCTTAACTCACTGAAGAATTGGAGACTCATTCAGTTGAATTTAGCAAAAATTTACTGAGCACTCAGTGCAGCAGACTCCATGGCTGGACAAGTAGGACATGTCCACTTGGGAATGCAAAAAGCAAGCCAATGATGTTGCTCTTATGTGATATGTAAACACAAGTACAGTATGGTTGGTTGAACAGGGCTTTGTGCACTGGAAGTGAAGTGCAGTAACCAAGGAATCTTGCATATTTTGCTCTTGCACAATTAATATTGAAAGGCATGAGAGGACCTCCTGGAGATGAAGGAGAAGTGGGTATCTTTTCTGAGAAGGGGAGACCTGGGGAACCTGGACTGCGTGGAGATGGTGGATTCCCAGGAGAAAGAGGTACACATTTAAGGTTTTGAAGCATGTCTCATACTTTGCAGATCATTCAAGCATGCCATGTGTATTAAGTAGCTTTCCCAATAACACTGAGATTAGGAAACGTCATTTTAGATATAAACAAACACTAATGAACCTTGTGGCACATTTTGTGCTTGTTCATTCTAAAACTGAAGTTCATATGTATTTGTTGCAAGCTAGGATCAACCTTGAGATACATTTCAAATACTAGTTGTAGGTTTAAAGGAAATCTGCTTTTAGAAGTTGGTGTTTAAACGAATATCCAAGTCATTTTGACCAAGTCCCCTTAAATGATGGTGTGCATAAGAATCACCTAGGCATCTTGTCAAAACGAAGATTCTGGATCTGGGTCTGGAGTGACCAGGGCCTTTCCAACAAGAACTCCCTGTTGCTGGTCCTCAGAAGCATAGCATAGCAAGAATTTTAGCAACCACATATGTATTCTCTAATACAATAAATTTAGACTTAATCTGCATGAAAGCTGGGTTTTTTCTTGGCTCTCTCCTTAACTGGCTATTGGGAGACACACTGTGTAGCTTCCCTGTGTCCTCATTTGTAAAATGAGTGTGTTGAAGCAAATGAGCCTACATTTGCCCTTCTCCCTCTGATTGTCCTGAGTCAGCAATTTTTATAATGAGACCACTGAAACCAAAGACTATTGTGATGTGACTTGGGGGCAAGACTCAGGATCCCTACTACCTATGGCTTCCTCTCTTAAAAGCAAGATCAAATCCCTCCTCATGACTGTTGCCTAGTTCAAGATTTCTGCCATGGGGTTTGTAATACTTCCAACCTCATCAGGTGATAAAGGAAGTCCTGGGATGCAAGGAAGAAGAGGAGAACCAGGAAGACATGGACCTCCTGGATTCCACAGAGGGGAGCCTGGCAGAAATGGACAACCAGGGTTGCCTGGTCCCCCTGGCCCGCCAGGCTCACCAGGGCCAAGAGGAATCATTGGTTTTCCAGGATTTCCAGGAGACCAGGTAAGGGATTCCTGTGTAAGGGAAGAGACAATGCAGTTCTTCTGCTCTTAGGATACCTATAAAGAGCCATCATTTACCCTCTGATCCAATTTCAGATGTCACAGATTTTTATTTAAATATGTCTGGTCTTACAATGATGAGTAAAATACCCCTTGAGAAGCCAGGAGACACAATAAATGTAGTAGCCTTCATCACCCTTCTGAACAAACTATGACTTACTATATATCTTTTGGAATAAAATGGATTTTTAAGGTTTTTAGTGTGATTTGATTTCTAATTTGAGTTCTATAATACCATTATTGTTTTTGCATCCATTTGCAGAGAATGGGATGCAGCCTGTTGGTATTGACAGTTCTAAATCCAGATTTTTATCAGCTCTTACAAGCCTGACACTTGTAGTATTATGCTTGCAATATATTTCCAGTTTTCTTTACTATACTGCAGATTATAAAAGCCAAGTTGGTCACATAAATTATTATTGGGTCATGTCATGCTTGTGCTGTTAGTATTGGAAATCTAATTTGGGTCTCACTTCTGTTTTATTCAACTGTCAGGGTGAGCCAGGTTCCCCAGGTCCTCCTGGATTTTCAGGACTCGATGGTGCAAGAGGACCTAAAGGTATGGTTTGAAAATAAAGCAGCTCTCTGTCAAACTCATAGTCCTGGATTCTTGTAACGTTGTGAGTGAGCATGTTTTGCATGATAAACAAACGATAACAACTGCAACACCCAAGAGACTTTTCTGAGACCCCAGTAGACAGTGAATTATTCAAGATCCAAGTGGTTCCCATGCACTCATCAGGTCTTACTCCTCAGTGGGAGTCCTTAGAGCTACCCATAGTGACTGCAGCCCCACCAGTCACGACTCAGGTGCAAGGAGACTAGATCCACACTGGTGACAGTGTTCACCTTGGCTTATAAGCCTCATGTCCCACAGGAACCAGTATCACTTCTAAGAACTCCACAGGCACAGTGCTAATTACCAGAATCACAGGACATGGAGGCCAAAGCCAGACTTGACCCCATGTATTAAGAATTCACTTAAGAATTCCCTAGCCAGATTTAATTTACAATTGGATTATTTTTGCCATAAGCCAAAAGTAAGCAATTTGTTTCAGTGAAGGATCAGATCATAGAAATCTTCACCTTTGTGGGCTGTGTGGTCTCAGTCACAACTGCTCAGCTGTGTTTTTGTAGCATTTGTAAGCAAAGGGGGTGGCTGTTTTCCAGTAAAATTTTATTAACAAAATAACGTGTCCACTAGATGTGGTCCCACAGGCTTTTGTCCAGTGAGTGCCAAGAACAATGTAGCCTTGTAACAGAACTGTCATGCTACATCTATCAGGTTTTCAAAGAAATCAAAATGGGAAGTCAACCAAAGGTTAAAAACATTCATATGGAAAGGGAAGTTTCATTAACCTTCATCCAGATAAACAAGTAAACAAAAATAAGGATATCTTATATTGCAATGTTTACATAAAACCTTTTATATTTTCACTCTCTTAATATGCCACTGGATTAATAGTTTCCTCAAATCTACTTTAAAATGATTTACTTTTTAAATTGTAGTCTTAACCTCAACCACCTGGGAATCCACAGATTGCATGTGCTGTTACACTTTAATAATTTTAATTTTAATAATATTCAAATATAAAACACTGATGAATGTACCACCTTAAATCTTCTCACTTGCCACCAGTGATCCATGCTTACACTTGGAGAGTTACTCTATCAATATTGTGATAATCACTGTAAGGAAACAGTTTTTGCTTAGTTATTCAGAAAGAATCATCTGGATCTCTTCTTCAGAAATATTTACAAATGGGGGCATCTTCACATTGGATCTTGATATTTTATAGCTTTAGAATTCAGAACTCACTCCCCTTCTACTTTGTTATAAATTTTTATAGTACTTTTACCTCTCTTAGATTTCGTTTGTACTTCTATTGGGCCATGTTTGCAATGTAATGCACTCAAGGGACTGAGGGTATGAGATGGTTCATGGGACCCCCAGAGAGGCAACGTGGCTCTGCAAGTCTGTAAGGCTAAAGAAACTTGGCCTTTAGCCGACCCAGGGCTTCTCACTGCTCTCCAGGCTCTTTTTTTTTTTTTTTTTAACTTTCCTGAATACCAGGTCCTTGTACGTGGATGCCTCCTATAGCATTGTTACACAGCACCATGGTACAACGGCAGTCCTATCTATGTGCTGTCCCTGGCCAAGTCATCAATGAAGTGTGCCTTTGTGATTTTATTTTTACAAGGACACTGAGCTGAGCTGTGCCGTAGGAAAGCTTGAAATGTGATGGCAGCAGTAGATCCAGTGAAGATCTCTGTGGGGAGCAACTCGGACTAGACTAAGTTACTGGAATTAAGACTTATTCTATGCATCTGCTCTCCCACAATATGGCGCTGAGAAGGGAGAAACAGCGTCTACACAGCTGCCTCCAGTTCAACCAATGAACTGTAGGACCTGCTCCTGATTGGAGGAGAGCAGCGTACTCGGCGTATGGGTAGCAGAGTTGGGAGTGGTGGAAGAGGACTATAAAGGAGGAGAGAGACAACATGCACCAGGAACATCTAAGGGGAACACCTGTGCAGCCCCCGAGAGAGCCGGCCAGTGGTGTGCCGCTCCCCTGCGGAAGTGGGGAAAGTGGCTAGGGGGAACCGCCCTTCCACGGAGGTGGAAGGGTCGGTAGCCAACCCGGGAAGAACCAGCAGCAAACCCGGGGAGGGCCGAGCAGACAAAAGAACAGCACAGGGTCCTGTGTCGTTCCTCCACGAAGACGGGGAGCGACATAATGGTGCCGTGACTCGGATGTGAAGCCTAGGCAGGGCTTAGTGTCGTTCCTCCATGAAGAGGGGGAGCGACAGATCTCTGCTTTTGGTTTCTAAGACATAATATAAAGATATTGTCACTCAATGACAAGAACTTTCTTAAGCAGAAACCTAAATTTGAAACATAAATATTGAGATTTATAGTTTCTTTTGATGATTATGAACAATAAAATTGTGTGTATAGAGTTTAAGTTTTTTTTTTTTATTTATTTATTTGAAAGCCAGAGTTACACAGAGAGAAGGGGAGGCAGAGAGAGAGAGAGAGAGAGAGAGAGAGAGACTTCTATTCATCGGTTCACTCCCCAATGGGCCTCAATGGCTGGAGCTGCGCCAATATGAAGCCAGGAGCCAGGAGCCAGGAGCTTCCTCCAGGTCTCCCAGGCGGGCACAGGGGCCGAAGGACATGGGCCATCCTGTACTGCTTTCCCAGGCCATGGCATGTGTATAGAGTTTAAATCCATCTCGCGTCTATATTCTATTTGTTCTGGTTTAGAAAGCTAGTATTTAAAGAAGTCTTCTGAAATATTTGGTGATGGACCATAAACACAAACATCATGAAAATATTAAGTCACTTATATGAGAGCAAGTCAGATTTTCTTAAATAATGTCCTGTGCATTTTATCCCTTACAGGAAACAAAGGTGATGCTGCCAGTCAGTTTGGGCCACCTGGCCCAAAGGGTGAGCCAGGTAGCCGTGGATATCAAGGTATATTTACATATTTGTCTTATTAAAATAAACAAAAGAGTGATTTAGTTTGAAAAGGACTATTTTGTAATCTCTATAATTAAACCTGATGAATGAGCAATCAATAACCACTCATACTGAAAACAGCCCCAGGTTACTATTCCAGCCTTTTCTTACCTACTGAGAGAAGTGAATGAATGCAAGGTGTGTACCATTGAGGAGCTATCACTGAATCTACTCTAATTAACTAAAACCAAACCAAACCGAACCAAACAAACATAAGACCTTGCCATCATTAAAAACCTATGTTGCGCAGAACAATACTTCGTATGTAGCAATTCATGTGGAATCCCTCAGAACAGATTGTGAGGTGCCAGGGAAGTCTTGTCCACAGTTGGGTCCAGGCTGGCCACCTAAGATGATGCACATCAGAAGGGAGGCACTGGACTCTGTACAGCTCCAGGCTTCATGGAGAAATGGGAAAATTGCTTGAGCTTAAGCCAACGGAGCACAATTTGAATTCAACTTCTAGAGGGGAGAGTGATTTTAGGATATTCTGCGGTATCAGTCTATACTCACATGTTTGTTTACACGCATATATGTAAGAGAAACATAGATGTTTCCCTTTCAGAAAACAGTGGAAGTATAAATTCACCTCCTTTCTGAGCCTTTTGGCAGCATGAATCAGTATTTCAAATATGCACACCCTTTGAGGAATCTGACTCCTCAGAGTTTATCTTAAGTCAATAATCAGACACGGGTATCAAGAGACATTTCTTGGGATTTCCACTGCATGGACAGAGCCTGTGTCCATTCTCAGGGGCTTAAAGTTAGGCCAAAGGACATGTAGCTGAGAGGGGTCAGCTTAGCAATGAGATGTGCATTAGATGGGGCTCTTGTCAACCAAAAGACTCTCTATTACATTTTGTTCATTATTTTAAAACTCCCTCTGCCAATAGACATATTTATTTTCAAATAACAGAATATCTGAGCAGAACTGTTATGGGAAGTTTTATTTTCTTTATTTTTATCCTACGATATACAAAATTATAGTGGCACAGCATCTTTCCCACCTTCTTTCCTGCTCTCTTTCAGGTGGGGCTTTTGCCTCTGATAGGGACAAATATATTTGGATCACATAATATTGTAACTGAAATGTATAAATGGAGTGTATGTTTGCAAAGGAAAATGGAACTGAGGTTAGCTTTACGTGAGGAGTATCGGGTAGGAAAGCAGCGGCTAGAAGTCACCCTCCATTGCTCTAGGGTGTGTGTAGTCTGGGGCAGGTTGCTTATCTTCTCTGGGCTCAGTTTGCCTGTTTACACTTTGGTCATATACACATTGCAGGATGGCTCAGAACATCAAATGAGCTATCTCCAAAGAAATTTGTAAGCTGAAAATTATTACACAAATATAAACTGTTATCATCATCAGTCAGCAAAATATTGAGTTTTTTCACACTTACAGGTATTCTTATGTAAACTCTGAAGACAGTAAGATTTCATAAGCCCAAAGTAGTCCAAAACTGAGGCCTTTGAAGTCAGTTGGAATTTTAAGTTAAAAGTCATTATCCTGAGTTATTTTATACTTAGGCTGACTTTTTCAGAAAATTTGTCCTGGCCTAGTTTGCCTGGTCTCCAGTGGTTATCGCTGTTTAAATTGTTCCCTATCCTATATGACAAGTCGTCTGCTTAGAATTTTTTTTTTTGGAAATATTTATTTATTTTGAAAATCAGAATTACAAAGAAAGTAGGAGAGATTTTCCATCTGCTGATTCACTCCCCAGATGGTGGCAATGGCCAGTGCTGGGCCGGGCCAAAGCCAGGAGCTTCATCCAGGTCTCCCACTTGGGTGGCAGGGACCCAGACACTTGGCCCATCTTCCACTGTTTTTCCCAGGCCATTAACAGGGAGCTGGATCAGAAGTGGAGAGGCTGGGACCGGAACTGGCACCCATATGGGATGCTGACATTGCAGGTGGCAGCTGAACCTGCTATGCCACAATGCTGGCCACAGAATTTTAAAATTATTTGTTGTTACCAGCACATAATTTACCTAAATACCCTGCTTCTGGAATAGGCTGAATTGAAAGAGCTTAATGAGAAAGTACCGATCTGCGGCTTGTCTCAGTATTGTGTAAGACTGTACTGAGCTAAGTCCCATCTGCCCCAGCCCACTTCAACTACAGGTAAAATAGAACACAGCTGAACTCAAAAGTTCTATTAACATAAGCACCAATTTGAGAGATGAATCTTTTAATGCTTCAGTGTTTTTATTTGGAGATGAGCATAATGTTGCCTTGCCTTACTGCAGCCACATTTTCAGGTTAAATAAGATTACACAGTGAGGTCAACTGATGTGAAATTCAGTGAACATAGCCCTTTTTTTCTGTTTGTTATGATCAGTAATGGGTATGTCAACCAGCTACAGATCAACAATAATTGAAAAAATTGAATCAGTACTGAATCCATGCAGACTTTCAAGTTTAGTCATTATTCCCTAAATAACACAGTATAACAACTATTTATATAGGATTTACCTTGTGTTAAATTTTATAAGTAATCTAGAAATGATTTAAAGTGTACAGGAAGATATATGTAGATTATATACAAATCTAACACTATTTTATAGAGTGAGTTGAGAATCTGCAGATTTTGGTGTACAAGGGAGCATCCTGGAACAAATCCCTGAAGGATACTGAGGGGCAACCTTATTTGACTTCAATCAGATTCAATCATTGATTTTCTGCGTGGACTGTTGGTATCCCCCATAAACATGAATTAGTCATCCTCTGTAGTAATCAAAGGAATGTAACTTAAAGTGTCTGAAATGTCATTTTATCCTTACTAAATTAGCAAGAAAACCAACGAAGGAGCAGGTACTTGGTAAGAATACAGCATGCTGTTGGGGTTGTGATCAGGCACCTGTGGGGTGGATGTAGCAGTGTGAAGCAGGGCAACATTTAGTCTACACTGCTGGTCACTTGAATCAAGAACCAGTGTGGAGTAGTTCCGCCCAGAAGACCAGAGAAGGACTGAATTGCTCTCATATGTCACTGACTTGAGAAGGAGACTGTTTTGGATTTTTAAAGATGTAAGAGAGATATCCACTAGATCAAATATGTGATTCTGGAATGGAACTCGGTGGGGTTGTTCAACTATGAATGATGCTAAGGGGACAATGGGGCAATTCAAGCATAACAAACATTAGATGATATTAAGGATTGTTATTAATTTTCTTGGCTGCAATAACAGGCAACACAGGAAAGTATTCTTATCTTTCAGAATTACTTCCTGAAATATTTAGAGGTAGAATTCCACAATAGCTGTGATTTACTTTAAAATACATCAGCATTTAAAAATACATTTTAAAGAATTACATTATTAAACTATTTATCTCTAAAGTCTACTTCTAGGAATTTTTTTCTAGGGAAACAATTTAAAAGAAAAAGTTGATAAAGGATGTGTAAAAAGTATTGCTTATCACAGTAAAGAGTTAGAAATAACTTGAGTGGCCCATAGCAGGAGAAAATTAGTTAATTTAATTAAGAGGGACTCATTTTAACATGATAATTAGAAAAATTGTGACAAACTTGGAAAAGTAGTTATGAGTCAATGACAATTTTAGAAACTAGAATATAAAATTTATGGTATTATTTGCACAAGTGTATATGTATGGAAACTGTGTTAAGGTGGTGGGATTAGGGGTGTTTTGTTTTTAATACTTCCATAATATTTCCTTCCAATTCAGTGCAAATTTTAAATGTAAGAGAATCAGGATAGAAAATGAAGCAAGGGCTGATGCCGCAAGTTTGATAGATCCACTGTCTCAGTAGCAATCCCCACGACTCAAATATTTGATCCTTCCTTCTTTTAGGACATTTTGGAGGCCCCGGAGAGCAGGGTTTTCCTGGTGTTCAAGGGCACAGAGGACCACCTGGAAGGCCAGGATCACCTGGCTCCTCTGGACCACCAGGGTGTCCAGGTACATTTGGAAACTTCCAGAGCACTCCTGTATCTCTTGGTGTGTTAGAAAGAACCAGTCTTCATGTAGACCTACGTTTAGATACGGCTCTGACACGTCCCAGACGTGACTTTGGACAGGCCACCTAAACATGATTCCTCCCCTATAAAGCTGGTCCTACTACTCCGAGTTACAGAGTGGGCACAAACTAAGACAGCAGGTGTGGCGTGCTTAGAATGGCACCAGACAGAAAGTGAAGGCCCGACAGAGAGGAGTGCCTGTCCAGCCCTCTGCATTCCAACTGCCATTCAGGATGCCGGGTTTGTTAGTGTCTCTCCTGGAGACCTAAGGCAAATACCATGTTCACAAAATGATATTTTAATGAACTCATTTTCTGCTGATTCAGAAAAAGGAGAACTTTATAATTGGCAACTTTGTTCATTTGGAAGTGTATTTGCTCCTTCTGAAGCTGTGTATTTTTCTCCCTTGAGTTAAGAGATTTAGGAAGAAAAGGTAATAAAATGATGTTCCTACTTACCTAGGTACTATGAATGTAGATGACTCTCCTAGCGAATGTAACCATCAGTCATCTGTATGTCTGCAAACCTCTCTGCTTTATCCAGGTGGCCAGGGGATACCTGGGCTGGAGGGCCATCCGGGAGAAGTGGGGGACCCTGGGCCAAGAGGCCTCCTGGGAGATCCAGGGAGACCAGGTCCCCCAGGAATGAAAGGTGAGTTGGGATGATACCTGACCCTTCAGAGACATGGACATAATAAGGAGAATGCTGCTCTTGATCATGCCACTCTCTCCCAGTTGGTTCCATCACCATCCTTCTCTTCCTCCGCCTGGAGCCTCAGGTGTATCCTGTTAGCATCTTCCTTACCCCAGGCTGCAGATGATGCTCATGTAATTTGACCTGCTCATACTGAAGAGCATCTGGAATGGTGGTGCTGCCGTCTACCTACCTACCTTCCTTCCTTCTTCCTTCCTTCCTTCCTTCCTTCCTTCTTCCTTCCTTCCTTCCTTCCTTCCTTCCTTCCTTCCTTCCTTCCTTCCTTCCTTCCTTTGATTGATTTCACGGACATGGAGCTGGATCAGAAGTAGAGTGGCCATGACTCTAACCACCACCCATATAGGGTGCTGGTGCTGCAGGCAGCGGCTTTACCAGCTATGCCACCACCTCCTTTATAAGGACATTTATGTAGTTTTTTAAATGATGTTCAGGCATATTGTATTCTTTTTCACAGGTAGTTAAGGTACTGTTATGTACTAAATTCAGTGTGAGATGCAGGATGCACTGTTTTGAAGAAAATAGATGTGATTCCTGCCCTGAGCTTATAGCCTAGTAAGAGAAGCAGATAGTCAAAAATATATGTGTAACTAAATATGTATTTACTGTTTGCAACAGGTGGAAGGAGGAGGATAAAGTGCTATGGACGAGTACCTAGTATTCATGGTGTCTTGGATAAATATTTTGTCCTAGTTGAACTTTGCTTTAAAAATAATAGTGGGCTGGTTATAAGTCTAGTTATAAAATATATTACATGAGAATATTTCAGAAAGTTCATGGAAAATGAAATTAAAAGATTAAAAGGTCATTTTTTAATGCGAAGAATGTTTGAATCCATGCAAGTGAATATAATACTTGTTACTAACAAATTTTTATGTCCTCGTTTTCACCCAGGGTATTTGTCCCTCTTCAATCCATTCTATCATTTGATAGGTGTTTTGTGTATATCTCTATCATAACACATATGTGATATTACATTTGTTTATTTAGATGCTTTTACCATCAAACAGGATATGATATTTTGGAAAGCAAAGGTGCTTGTATATCCTTGACACCCATCAACATGTTGGTTGGTAGTCTGAATAAATTAATAAATGGACAGACAGAAGATAAACAAGTGAGCTAGTAACTGAGGTTGAGAGTCTTCTGCTGCCAACAGATGAAGGTTCAAGCCTTACTTGGTAGATTTCTGTAAGCCAGCTCCCTCTATCTCCTCCTTCCTCTCTTGTCTTCCCACCTTCCTACTGCTCACTGAATCACTCAGATGCCAAATTTTGTTAAAATGGAAAATGCCCCCTTTCAAAAGAGTTGGAAACTCATTTTCTGGGATTATTTTGTTTTTCCAAAGTCCAATTCCTATGACACTCTCCTCTTCACTCAAACCCTTGCTACTTCCCAGCCACTGCAGGTGGTAAGTATTCCTTGGCGTGATTCTGTGGAGGGAGGGCTTCTGCTTTGAAGATTTGATTCCCTTATGCATTTCTATGCAACCAGATGTCTTGATCACGCAACCAGATGTCCTCTGTCTTCACTGACATTGTTAGTAATATGAAGTCCAATGGTTTGAAATAAATTTAAGGTTTCAAGAAAAATGATCATATGTTATTTTAAAAGTTTTTCAGGTGGTTGTGGCCATTTCCTGTCCCTGGCCACCCCCTACAGCCCTCATTGAGTGTTGATGCCTTTTTGTGTATAGAAGATGAAGTTGGTAAAAAACCAAGAGAAAAAGATTTTCTGGTTTTTTTTTAAAGACTTATTTATTTATTTGAAAGTCGGAGTTACACAGAGAGGAGAGGCAGAAAGAGAGAGAGGTATTCCATCCGCTGGTTCACTCCCCAGATGGCCACAATGGCCAGAGCTGCACCCATCCAAAGCCAGGAGCCAGGAGCTTCTTCCGGGTCTCCCACGCGGGTGCAGGGGCCCAAGGACTTGGGCCATCTTCTACTGCTTTCCCTGGCTATAGCAGAGAGCTGGATTGCAAGTGGAGCAGCTGGGTCTTGAACCAGCAACCATATGGGATGCTGGTGCTTCAGGACAGGGCTTTAACCCACTGTGCCACAGCACCAGCCCCAATTTTCTATGTTAATCTCTCTTCCTGCACTTCCATTCTTTCCTATCTCCCTGCTTTACTAGAACAAGCAAGGATTTTAAGAACCAAGGTGCCATAACATCATACACTCAGTTTGACCCAAATGACAAGTCTGATGTTATTATTGTTGATTCCTCTTGCCTTGAATTAGTTTACATTTATCACATGACTTTAGTATGATGTGTTGTTAAAAAGATAATAGCTAATGAATGTGATACAAAGAAAATTATTCAAAAAATAACCTCAATTGCATCCTAATTCTGTGCTTTGGAAGAGTAGGTTTATTAAGAAGAGAGGCAAGGAAGTGACTGTATAAACCTACATGTTCATACCAGAGACGGAGAGACACTGCAGTGAGGCTTCCTGACCATGTAGTGACACTGTTTCACTACAAACAGCTCAGTCTTAAAAACACACACACACAAACCAAACAGTGAAATACATTCCTAAAAATTAAAACATCTACAGTATAAATCTACTGTTGCAGTTTCTCATGCTGATATAAAAATGAACCACACTCCAGCAGAAACACTTTGAACTGAGAAGCTAAATATTTGAAGCATGCTCTAAGTCAAGGGAACTTTGTTATCTTGTTTGAACAAACCAGCTGCTGAACTCCAAGCTGTTTGCTCTGCTAGAACTGGCCATATGGATTTTTAGTCCTGCTTGTGTTCAATAAGATTTAAACTTTAACTTAGAGCCTATGCTAAAAATGCTTTGAATCCTAGATTTAAATCTTGAAATGTGTATGCCCTCTAAAAGGAGAACATCCCGTTCCTAGTTTGGCATTAGTGCAAGACTGGAATGATGGAAACCTGAATAAAGTTCTCTGTAGCGTGGTAACGTGGTGAAAAACGTTTGGCTGGTCACAAGTAAAACATCTCCCAGAAAAAAGCACTTCATCATGTCTTATATCAGGAAAGAAATGCCATGCACCGCAGAGCTATGAAAGGCATGGAAATGTTCTTCCGCTATTTACAACTAGATCGTTCCCTCTTGAGCACCGCCATCGCACATACCACGTTGGATGTAATTGCTTGGATTAGCTATCTCTTGCTCCCCATTGTCTTGTCAGCACCTGACATGACTTGACGTTGCAAGCTGAAGCTCTGTGCACTATGAAATCCTATGTTATGCCTCTTATAGGTACTTACATTAAAAAAAAAATCTTATTTCAGTATCTTTTTTGGTTAGAGGTTTTCAGTTTTTTTTTTTTCAGTTATGGTCATGAAGATCTCTCTGCCTCATCCCATCAGTTTTCCTGATGTCTTGTTTTGCCTTGGTTTGAAGGGATTTCTTAGGGCACAGAATTTTCAGTGTGAATAGTAGGAAAGTCCTAGGCACCCAGAGAGGGACTGGCCACCCTATTAAAAGTATAAAGCTGTAGAAAGCCTCCTGGGGTGTAGTAGATAGCATGTGCAGGCATTGGAGCAAAAATACAACCTGAGAGCAGGCATCCAGTCCCAGGGAGTCAGCTGGCTAAGCCGGAAGAAAGCCACATTATGGCTGGAGTGGACGCTGGACTCACCGACTGCACCACAGTCCATGAGTATTGTAGGATGTGGTCTCCCATAATGCATGTTGGGAGGAGGAGGACCAGAGAGGTGAATAAAAATCCTCACTACCCAGGAATGTGCTTGGTTAGCCTGATTGCCCCTCATCTGCACTGTATATATTTCACGCATGAACAACTTTCTGATTTAGAGATGGGATTGATAAAAAGCTTTCAGTAAAAAGGAAAAATTACCCTTAAAACCCTAACCAGATGTAACTGCATTCAATTTAGAAAGATAACATTGGGTCAGAGAAGGGTCGGCCAGTTCAACAATGGCGACGGGCTGGGACTGTGACAAGCCCGGATCTGGATGTGTCGATGTGACAATGGAGAGTTGGCAGAGGCTGGGGTGTTCCACCCTTAGCCAAGTCCCCTGAGCCATCAATCTTGGTGGCTAAAGCTGGAGATCAAAACATGTGGAAATAGCAAAGTGGTCTCAAAATTTATTATCTTTTCAGATAGATTGCGGTAAATATCCAGAGTTGGCAGATGAAGAAGGTCTCTGTGTTCTTTCGGTGCAAACTTGAAACATTGGCTCATAAAATAGGAAAGAAGATTGGAAAGAAAACTAAGCCAGAACTGTGAGATGTGGTTAGGAAATAAGAGATTTAGGAAAAATAAGGATCCAGTCCCATGTCAGATGTAGATGAGAACAGGACTCATCTGAACCCATCTAGAGTTTATATCTTAAAAACGGAATAACAACTGTCCGTGTCAAGTACTGATGACAAATAGAGTGGAACCCATTCACCTGCAATTTTTTTTCTTTTTTTTTTTTGAAGATTTATTTTATTTATTTGAAAAACAGAGTTACAGAGAGAGGTAGAGACAGAGAGAGAAGTCTTCCATCCACTGGTTCACTCCCCAGATGGCCACAATGGCTGGAGCCGTGCCGATCCGAAGCCAGGAGCCAGGAGCCAGGAGCCTCTTCTGAGGCTCCCACATGGGTGCAGGGGCCCAAGCACTTAGGCCAACTTCTACTGCTATCCCAGGCCATAGCAGAGAGCTGGATCAGAAGAAGAGCAGCCGACACTAGAACTGGTGCCCATATGGGACGCTGGAGCTTCAGGCCAGGGCTTTAACACTCTGCGCCACGGCACTAGCACCCCACCTATAATTTTCTAAGAAGTCCACAGAGGATTTGCTTTAATGAACAGAGAAAAATTAAAACTTGTATTATTAAATCCAAATAGATCCTAAAACTTCTCTACATTGCATTTGTCCTATAACTCTATCAAGGAAATACGTGGCATGCAAGTAGAACTTGTTTTTGTTGTCCTCTCCATTGTGTCCTTTCTGTCGACCCTCCATCCCTTGCCTTCTCCTTTTCACATTTTCTCACTAACTTTATATTGATTGAACACCTACTATGTGTCAAGAAATAGGACAAGTGTTGCAGAGGAAAGCCTGGTTTGCATTCTGACTTACCATTGAGTGAGGAATGCAGTCACCTGGAGATGTGATTTTTATATAGCAAGAGATGAGCATTGTGGCAATGGAGTTAATATAATCAGTGGAATGCTTCGTAGGTATCATGGTGTTCAGTCATTAGAGTGTCCAATGTCATTATCCCAACTTTGAGATATATGACTCCCAACTGAGTGAATGACTGGCTGTGTACCAAAGTGTTCTAGGTCTTAAGTGAAGATCTACTCATGAAATAGAGATTACAGAAGTGGTCAGGAGCAGAGAAAAAGCTTCATTGCCCAAAACCAATCAATGAGACAAGACATAGAGAGAAGCATCTGGTGGAGAACCCAGCTCCTTAGGGACGCTCTGTAACATTTCTTCTCAGGGCCGGTGCTGTGGTGCAGCCGGTTAAAGCCTTGGCCTAAAGTGCTGGCATACCATATGGGCACCGGTTCTAGTCCCTGCTGCTCCTCTTCCAATCCAGCTCTTTGCTATGGCCATGGAGAAAAGAAGATGGCCCAAGTCCTTGGGCCCCTACACCTGTGTGGGAGACCCGGAAGAAGCTCCTGGCTCCTGGCTTTGGATCGGCCATTGAGGCCATCTGGGGAGTGAACCTTCAGATGGAAGACCTCTCTCTCTGTCTCTACCTCTCTCTGTAAATCTGTCTTTCAAATAAATAAAATAATATTTAAAAGAAACACACTTCTTCCCTGCCTTCTTCCCTGCTTCTGCGCCTTCTTTGTTATCTGTCTCCTACCACAACTCTATGCTTGTCAATTAGAAAACTTGTTTGAAAAGACTTATCATGTGGAAAAGCTAAACACACAAAGTATGTTCATCGAAAACCTTATGAAACATCTTCCATCAAAAGTGCACAATGCGGCCACCACTGTGGCTCAATAGGCTAATCCTCCACCTAGCGGCGCCGGCACACCAGGTTCTAGTCCCGGTCGGGGTGCCGGATTCTGTCCCGGTTGCCCCTCTTCCAGGCAAGCTCTCTGCTGTGGCCAGGGAGTGCAGTGGAGGATGGCCCAAGTGCTTGGGCCCTGCACCCCATGGGAGACCAGGAGAAGCACCTGGCTCCTGCCTTCGGATCAGCGCGGTGTGCCGGCCGCAGTGCGCCAGCCGTGGCGGCCATTGGAGGGTGAACCAACGGCAAAAGGAAGACCTTTCTCTCTGTCTCTTTCTCTCTCACTATACGCTCTGCCTGTCAAAAAAAAAAAATTAAAAAAAAAAAAAAAAAGAAAAGTGCACAGTGCCAGCTTAAGTCAAGCCAGGGTGGTGGGTGCCTCCTTAGGGGACTTCACTGATGTCCCCCAAAGAGTTCTCAGAGAAGCTACAGGTGTCAGTGGGGTAATGTCCCATCACAGACACTGGAGTTTCCTGTGATTTTTACAAAAAAAAAAATTGCTTGCTCTGCAAAGGCATCACAGTGGCTCTGAAAGAGGTGGTTATAAAGAAACAGCTTCATGGGGCCAGGGCTGTGGCGCAGCAGGAAAAGCTGCCACCTGTGGTGCTGGCATCCCATATGGGCAGCGGTTCAAGTCCCGGCTGCTCCACTTCCAATCCAGCTCTCTGCTATGGCCTGGGAAAGCAGTAGAAGATGGTCCAAGCTCCTGGCTCCTGGCTTCGGATAGGCCCAGCTCCAGTCGTTATGGTCAATTAGGGAGTGAACCAGCGAATGGAAGACCTCTCTCTCTCTCCTTCTCTCTGTGTAACTCTGACTTTCAAATAAAATAAATAAATCTTTAAAAAAAAGAATTAGCTTCAGCAAACCTTGACCACAGGGGAGGCATGTGTTCTCCAGTATGCCACCAGTGCTAGCTGTCTTCTGTCCTGGGATATTTACATGATCCTGAAGGAATTGGAACCCACAGATGCTGTGGGGAGAGGAAAGACTTCAAGTCTGGGTATAAGAGGCCTGGATTTGCTTCAGTCTTTTTCCAGTAAAGATGATCTTATTGTCATCCAATCAAGCCACTTCCTACTCCAAGATTTAGTCAGTTTAGACTGTATCTGGTCATGATACCGTCATGAAATCATGTATGCATTAAGTTGTCTTGGCAGAAAACCTCTATCAAATGAATGTGTTAAATCCCCACTGGCCTAGAATCCTGCCCTGATAATGATGTCCAGCAGGGGAGACTAGTCCCCTCCCGCATCAGCTTACCTCAGCCAGGCCAGGCGGCATCTGTGAGTTGTGGCCAGAGTGAGTATCAGCGGCTAGTGTTCCCCTTGGGTCACATGCCTGTCATGTGTTTCAGGTCCTTCTGGTTCTCCTGGCCTGGATGGCTTGCATGGGCTGAAGGGTCAGAAAGGAACCAAAGGTGCTTCAGGTAAGAAAATGTCATTTGCAGGAGCCTGGGCTTTAACCCCTGGAACAGGAGATAAAGTAGGGCCTCCCTCCTCCCCTCCCTGCCTGGGATTGTCTCCCTTCACCAGATTTGGGGAGTGAAACTCAAAACCTGGCTGGGATGAAAGACACAGGGTTGGAACTATTTTCAGCGCTGTTGCTCATTTTTGTAAGAATGACATGTGAGAAAACCTTATCTAAGGAATGGTTGATTAGCAATACTTTTTGTTGGTGTTGCTTCTCTGAACAATTGCTTAACTAGACACAGATTTCAAAATGTCATGAGTAACAAATAAATAGGGTTTAAACATGTTTGCATTGTTTTAAGTGTTGTGCTGCCATAGATGACCACATGGATCTAATGAGTACCTTTAGTACCTTTTCACAGCTTCTGTTAAAACAAATGACCTGAAAGATTTGTTGCTATTTTTGATACCACCAGTTGGCTAATCTTCAATTACTGCATTCTAGCAGGTTCTGTGAATGGCATGCACAGTTGCTGTGTCACTTTCTCAAAGAAACAGCTGATAATCAGACACAGCGGCAGGAACCCAACACGTAGACTTGAGTGGCTGTGGGGGAAAGGTTGAATTGTTCTGCTAAGTTTGAACGCATTGGTGGGGAGAGATGTAATCTTTGCAGTTTGGAAGTTCAAAAAGTAATACTTTTAATGGTCCTTCCAGATAGTTTGATTAAATGTGCGCCTCTTCCAAAAACCCAGTGATGGTCTTCCTTCCATGTAAAATTCCACAATGGTTCTAATTATAGGCCAGCTTCTGCCTCAAATTTCCAAGCAGTTTATTCATAATTATTTATTGTTACATCTTATTTGTTGTCACTGTACCCACTGTAGAGGTTGGAGGGTTGGTGTTGTCACTAAGATGTTGATTTTATAAATATGATAAATAATTATAAATGAAACCAAGCTGTGGATAGCCAGTCATAAGCAAGAAATGGCTACTCAGGAATAGCATGTGGCCATTTGGGTCCCCACCACAACAGTGATAGTCTCTGCAGAAGGAGTCTCTTCTCTGTGACACTCGTGTGGGGAAGTGACACCATAGCAGGGACAAGCAAGATGATGTAATATTAATGCTCTTTTCCCCATTAAGGTTTGCATGAAATGGGCCCACCTGGTCCAATGGGAATACCTGGAATCAAAGGGGATAAAGGAGAACCTGGGAGCCCAGGAATTTCTCCTCCAGGACTTTTTGGTGAACGAGGTCCCCCAGGCCTCCCAGGTAAGAAGCAGTATGTGCTGCCCCTCTCTCAACAAAGTCAAAAGCTCCCAAGTATAATGAGGCTAATGTCTGAATGTGTCCCTTTCCAGGGAGACCAGGACCAGTTGGTCCCATGGGTGCCACAGGAAGAGCTCCTAAGGGTGACATTCCTGACCCAGGTCCTCCTGGAGATCAGGGACTTCCTGGTCCTGATGGCCCAAGAGGTACGCAAGCATCGTGGCAAGGGGTAGTAATGCTCCCTTCATTAGACGCTGCCAGCTCTACAGGAATGCAGGGATAAAGAGTGGCAGGGTGGAGGCACCAGAGCTGCTCCAGCAGCTGGATAAATGAGGCCCATTTTGGGGAAGTGTGGGTTTCCAGGCTTAGGATGTAGTTCACACCACTCTATCAGACCACCTTGGCATGGGTACCAATTCTGATTTAGAGCAAGCATTTCCCGTTGCCCACTTGTTGCTGACCATGAGGTTTCAGAAGTGGCTGGCAGAAGGGAACAGTACCTTCCTTGTTGGTTTCTAGCACGTATCAGCCAGTCCTGAGGCCCATAGCAGGAGGCAGGCCTGTCACATACACAGGAATAGTCTCTTGCATGTGGTATTAAACAGTACTGTTGCTCCTTTCATCACTTTGATGAACTTTGGAAAGGCAAGATTTTAGAAGTAATTACTAAACCAATAAAGTAAGGGGTAGACCAGAGCTGGTTTGTGAATTAGGGGAAGAGCTTGGCTCAGTGCCTTGGTTTGCTTGATATGGATGATCAATTCATATAGGCTCCTAAAAGAAAAAAAGAAAAAACTCTTATACACAGACACAGACCCGTCACCTTTGAATCATCAGGAATTTAGGAGGGATAGGATTCTATACTAAGAAATATTAAAGCAATAGTAGTGGTAAGAAATATAGGAGGTGAATAGGTGTTAATTCATTCTTGGTGGTTTTCAAATAGGATTGTAAATTTGAGTGAACAATCCTTTGGCATCAGCCCAATTTTCTCCAAAGCCCACCTATTTGTCCATCCCTGCCTCACTCTAGGCATCCCTCCCTCCATTCTTCTCCTCCTTTCATCCATTCATCCATCTGTCAAGCCATCTTATTAAAGCAGCAAGACTGCAATGCAAATAAAAACCATCAACTGCTAGTTTCCAAAGGAGTGGCCCTGAATAGAAAGATGGTTTGGGTTCAGCTCACTTTGTCTAACAGTTGCTAACCCGTCCTCTACACCATTTCTCTACCTGAGCTGAGTGAGACATACACTCTGTTTAACTCTGATCCTACTGACTCTTATTCTTCTAATTCCCTCCATCCCTTGCTTGCAAACTGTTGAATTATCTTTCTAAAGAAGCTTTCAGGAAGCTGATATACATTTCTGCCTTTGATTGAAAGAATACTTTTGCCTCTTCCCTGTGGTCAGGAGCACCTGGGCCTGCAGGCCCCCCTGGGAGTGTGGATCTTCTGAAAGGAGAGCCAGGTGACTGTGGTGTGCCAGGGCCGCCAGGACCCCCCGGCCCGCCAGGCCCTCCGGGGTGCCAAGGTGTTCCAGGATGTGATGGACATGATGGCCAGAAAGGTACGAATCCAAGTTGTCCCATAAACAGCATGTGAGGCCTTTTGCTATCTCACCTGGAGCGTCTGGGGTACTGCACCACCTCGGTGTCATCCCTCCTTCCGGTGGAAACAGTGACTACATCTCCAAAATGTCCTGACTTCCCCAGAGCCCTGAAGTCTGGGCAAAAGTTGGACAAATAAAAGGAAGAGACAGAAGTTCATCTTTTGCCCCTAATAACACTCTTGTGTAATGCTATCACACCCAAATCAAACAAGTCATAATTTAAAATGAAGCAGTCAGATTTTCTTTTATTAACTTTTATCTATTTATGTTTAAAAGGCAGAAAAACAGAGGTAGAGACAGAAAGAGATCTTGCATCTGCTGGTTCACTATCTAGGTGCCTGCAATAGCCAGGGATGGGCCAGGTTGAATCCAGGGGACTGGAACTCAATCCAGGTCTCCCATGTGGTGGTAGAGACCCAAGTACTTGAGCCATCACCTGTGGCCTCCCAGGGTGTGCATTAGCAGGAAGCTGGTATTGGAACTGGAGCCTAGATTCAAACCCATCCAATATGGGATGCAGGCGTCTCAACCAGTGTCTTAACTGTTGAACCAAATGCCTGCCCCTAGAAAGTAAAAAGAAAGAAGTTAACTTTTATATTTTAGTTCATTTAATACAATATAGCCAATATAATTTTAACATAAAATCAGTTTGAAATTATCAATGAAAGGCCGGTGCCGCGGCTCACTAGGCTAATCCTCCGCCTTGTGGCGCCGGCACACGGGGTTCTAGTCCCGGTCGGGGCGCCAGATTCTGTCCCGGTTGCCCCTCTTCCAGGCCAGCTCTCTGCTGTGGCCAGGGAGTGCAGTGGAGGATGGCCCAAGTGCTTGGGCCCTGCACCCCATGGGAGACCAGGAGAAGCACCTGGCTCCTGGCTTCGGATCAGCGCAGTGCGCCAGCCGCAGCGCGCCGGCTGCGGCGGCCATTGGAGGGTGAAGCAACGGCAAAGGAAGACCTTTCTCTCTGTCTCTCTCTCTCTCACTGTCCACTCTGCCTGTCAAAAAAAAAAAAAAAAGAAAAAGAAAAGAAAAAGAAATTATCAATGAAATACTTGAGCTGATTTGACAAGTCAGCCATCCTCTCTCAAATCAGCCACCCTCCTCTCCTTTCTGCCTGTGAAATCTGGGGTGTATCTGACACAACACAACCCTGTCTGGGTTGGCCACATTTCAAGTGCTTGGTAGTCACATGTGATTGGTATCTTCTGTATTGGACGGCTCAGTTTTATTTAGACTGCTGACTCTGGTTTTTCATATTCATGAAAACGTCCTTGTTACTGAATTTCTCTATTATAGGAGGATAAAATATTTATTTTAATTACTTTTTACCCAACTTATAATATTTGGGGGACACTAGTTTTGGCCAGTAGAATTTCAGAGAATTATTATGTTCATGGAACTTTTTTATGGAGATGGAACCAATAATGATTATTCATCTTAACTCCCTTATTTCATAAATAAGGATGTGGGATATTAAAGAAATGACTGGTTGAAGTTTGCAAAATAACCAGTGCTTTGACTTCTAAAGCAAGTGTGAAATAAGGCAAAATATTAGGGAAGAGGGGAGATCAAAATCACCATTAGGCTCTCATCACTACAGTGCGAATGGCATCTCTGGAATTCTGCAGTGTACAACCTGTCCCATAGTACATAGCAGTACTCTCCACCTTTGTTGGCTCTAAAATTAATTTTAGAGAATGTGGCTTATACCAGCAAGCAAATGGTCTTGCAAGTGTTCAACCTCAGAAGTGGACAGACATGTGAGCACTCTGGTCAACACTAGGAAAGGCTGGTGCTGCGGCTCACTAGGCTAATCCTCTGCCTTGCGGCGCTGGCACACTGGGTTCTAGTCCCGGTCGGGGCGCCAGATTCAATCCCAGTTGCCCCTCTTCCAGGCCAGCTCTCTGCTGTGGCCAGGGAGTGCAGTGGAGGATGGCCCAAGTACTTGGGCCCTGCACCCCATGGGAGACCAGGATAAATACCTGGCTCCTGCCATCGGATCAGCGCAGTGCGCCGGCCGCAGCACAACGGCCGCGGTGGCCATTGGAGGGTGAACCAACGGCAAAAGGAAGGCCTTTCTCTCTGTCTCTCTCTCTCACTTTCCACTCTGCCTGTCAAAAAAAAAACAAAACAAACAAAACACTAGGAAGGAGGAAGTGGCTGCTGGCAACCCTCATCCTCCCTGGAAGTCTCCAGAGGATAACTCTGTGGCTGGGTTTATACTCCAGGGCTGAGGGAATAGCTTTGCCATGTAACTCATGTGACGAACAGCGACCAACCTGAGAATACACAGGGAGTTAGAAACACCCGTGGAGCCACTCCCCATGCTTCTCAGCTCCCATTCCAGAGGATACCAGGGTCAAACTGTGCTTTGTTGTACAGAGTGAGGGAGTTCCCTTGGTTTTCCTTTTCTGTCTTATAGAGTGGGCATACTTCACAGACAGCTACAGGTCCTTGTGGATATGCCTTGAACAAATTTAAACATCATATTCAGTGTAGAGTTTCATGGAGGAAGGCAGGCATTCATACCAAGGAAGCATCCGTGTGAATCCAGCTTAGTGCTCTGACTGAAGTGTTTGTCAAAAAAGCAACCAGACTTGCGTTGGGATTCCAGGGAGGACTTAATGGATGGGGAAGAGGAGAAGGGGAAAACCATAGGAGGGAGTTGTGGTTGGTGGGCCCGAGACAAAAGAGCAAGGGGAGTGGTATGAGGTTGGGCAAGGAGGCACTTTGTCCCCAGAGTGAATCTCTTCCCTTACTTCCCCATCATGTCCCGTCCTTTGGCCGTCTCCAGAGAAGGTTCAGGATTGCAGGGCCTTTCATTCTAATTTAGGTTTAGCTTGATCATGGATCAGTGTTCCTTAGTCCTGAAAAAGCATTGCATTTTGTGCAGATGGAAATTCTGCTCAGCCTTGCGGAGAAAAATGAGGCTCCGTTCGAAGGCCCACTTTGCCCTGCTTTTTCACTGGAGTGGATCTCTGAATTCAGTCAGCCAAATCATCATTGTCTTTTCATTGCTTCATTCCAGCGCCTTCATGTTTATGTTTCCTTTAGGACCAATGGGGTTCCCAGGGCTGCAAGGGCCCCATGGCCTTCCTGGGCTACCTGGAGAGAAGGGTTTACCTGGATCTCCAGGTAGAAAAGGACCCACGGGTCCTCCAGGTAAGTGTCTAATGCTCTGCTCAGCAACCTGCACATGGCATTTTTGTATGATGATCATCTTTCAGAAAGTAGACAGTTATTCTAAAAGTACTAACACATTCTTATGAGTTAAGTTCTTTTAGAGTATACTTATTTCAGGCTTTATTTTGAAGTTTCATGTTTGGTAAACTAATATTTATTATCAGAATGAATAAGTCGGAAAATTGAGTTGATTTTCCCCATAGTACATCTCGAGGAAAGAAATATGTGTTGAATCACACAAAAGATTCAGCCTGATTTGATTATTGTTTTTCAGAATTGCATTTCTACTTTCTATCTCTGAATCTCCCTTAATTTTTTAGATGTTTTATTTGACTTTTTCCTGTAAAGTACATCAGTACTTATGATGGTGAAAGGCTATTCAGTGTAACTCCATTGATGGCACACTTTAATCATGGGGTAAAAATAAACCAAGGAAGAGTAGGAAGAGAAAGGCAAACAGAGCTGTGCATCTCAGATTGGCAGGAGTTCTACCTTTCAAGATCCTAAATCAGTATTATGATAATGTGACGTCAGTTTGCATTATTTTGCCATCTCCTAAAATAGCTGCAGTCCGAAGAACAGTCTGTACTGCTTTATGAAGAATTATAGTACAATGAGACAAAGGACTTATACTTTATTCCTCTTCTATTTCTTTCCTATAAAACTTTATAAATTCATATGGAAATGTCAGAAGCTTTTAAGTGGATAAAACTCCTATATACATTAATTTAGAGCATATTTGCTATAGAAATCAAAAAGAATTTTATATTTCTCAAGAGAATTTCATTTCAAGTCTTTCTACAGATGAAAACTCCATTAGTGCAAAATCAGAGCTGTTCCTGTCAGTCACATTGATGTGGACTTTTTATGTAAATACGAGGCTGTCACTCTGCCTGTCATTGATGCCGCCCCAAATTATTATTTTAGTTCCCAAACAGTCTATTTTATTTTTGTCCTGATTCACAAATTTAAAAATCTCTTTCCGCTACGTGAAAATCATTGAATGGCCTCCGGTTTTTCGCTTTGGATATCTGCAGGTTACAGAGGTAAGCAGTGCCATCAAAACCGTCATTTCCCCCGAAATCTGGTTCCTAGTTGTTTCTGTGTTTGCCTTTTCCACTGGCTTTGTGAGCCAACCGTCCTTACGTTTTTAAATAGATGGGATGCTGTAATGATATTGGGTTTTAATGCCTTTGCTTCTTCGTTACTGATATAGTAACCTCATATTACAGTGTCCTAATGCTGAGCCTCATTATAGGTTGTCAAGGCAATGTAGATACTTGGCTTTTATAATTTCAATTCAGGCACTAAGTATGAGTGCTTTCTCTGTAAAATGCTCGAGCACATACCCATGTACATCCCTTTTAGAAACGCTACTGTAGAAGTACAAGGACATCCCTAACCTAAGTGGTATCAACGTCATTGTCTGGCTCTCACCACTCAGTCATGGGCTAGGACAGCCCTTTCCTATCACACCGTTAAGTCCATTGTCAGGGAGCAAATTTCTTTGTGGGCTCAAAAGAAAATGTTTCCTTCATACTCTGAAATGCAAAAGCAACCTATTATTTTGGGTCTAGCATTTGCAGAGAGAACAAAAATTGTTTCTAGAAAGAAGAAAAGACAAATTTTCAATGTCTGCATTTGCTCTTTCCAGGCATCTGTTATCCACCTAATGAAAATGCCCTGAATACGGACACCATATATTACTTTGAAGGCCTTTACAAGAAAGACCTCGGCCTCTTGCTTTTAGCTTCTGGTTTATTAAAAAGTAAAGAAAGGCAATAAAAAAAATTAAATCCTGCTATTTTACATGGTTAAAAACTAAAGTTGCATATTTAATGAGTTTTCATTGCAGTCCTGTCTATGAATGTATGGAGAAAGTCATTTGGGGATCCCACTGAAATTCTAAATATGAAGGAGCAGCCATGTGGCCCCAGTTCCCCGACTCCCTCACCACTGGAAAGACTCAGCCTGGTTAGGGGAAATAGGAAATGTCCCCATGCATCTCTCTTAAGTCCCCTATAGTGGAAAAGCCATGTTTTATATTAAACCAGACACATTGTGCAATTATGTCTGGCCCAGGGTTGCTTGTGGTTTCATGCCGTATTCTACAAGGGGTTAAATTCTAAACAGCTGATAGATTCCAAGTTCATTCTGCTCCAGCATATTAAGGACTATGTAGATTAACATTCTGTGGTTATGACCACACTTTTCTAGAATTTTCTTGCCAGGTCATTGCTGTTCTTAAAATTAGTATGCACATTTGTATGAGTTTTGAGGAAACCATAACTAATCAAATGGTATGTTTTAAAATATGTTTCATTTTTTAGCCTTCATCATGCAGACATTATGAGTTCTGGAGGCCACAGGAGAGGATGCTTAAGCACATGGGTTTGGAGCAGGCAGAATGTTCTGGGATTTAATCTGGACATTAGCTGTGTGATCCTAGATGCCTCACTTATTAGCCCCAGCTTGGGTTTTCTTCCTTTATTTAAAAAATTATTTATTTATTTGAAAGGCAGAGTTAGAGAAAGAGAGAAAGAGACAGACACAGAGAAATCATCCATCTGCTGGTTCACTCCCCAAATGGCCTCAATGGCTGGGGTTGGGCCAGACAGAAGCCAGGAGCCTGGAAATCCATCCAGGTCACTCACATGAACACAAGGGCCCCACTACTTGGGCCATTTTCCACTGCTTTCCCAGGAACATTTGCAGGGAACTGGATTGGAAGTAGAGCAGCTGGGACTCTAACCATTGCCTGTATGGGATGCTGGTGTTGCAGGTGGAGGCTTAACCCATTATGTCAAAATGCTGGCTCCCCAGTCTGAGTTTTCCTATCTGTAACACTCTAATAACAGCAGCATATACATTGTCTTGTTGATAGAATTTAATAGCAAAGCATGAAGCACATAGCCTGATGTGTGGTGAAACTTCCAAGAAGTGCAAGCTGTTATCATTATTGCCCAGTATTGTTATACTGATCCTTTGTGGAATGTTTGCAGAGTGACCCAATGATGCCTTTAAGGGAAATGTCTTAAAGACGTGAATGCCACTAACAGGGGAAATAAGCAAACCTTTACTGCAGCGTTCCCAAAGTGAGGCTTCCAGATGAGCACCTGTAGCTTCCCCTGTGAACACGTGGGCCATGCTGGAGCTGGGCCCCACTTCAGGCCTCCCGACTCAGGAACTGGCTTCTACCAAGGTAGCCAGCTGACTCTGCTGCGTTGACGTCAGAACTGCAGGCGTACAGCAGGCTTCTCTGCCCCCGGCTGGCAGTGGAATCACCTGGGAGTTTAAAAACACACAGATACTCCTGGACCCACTCCCAATAATTCTTACTTACTAAGTCTAGATGGATTCCAGCTTCAGTACCTTTGGAAAGTTCACCAGCTGGAGTTGCTGTGTGGCCCACATTGAAGGCCCTGCCCAGGACACATCCTAGTCCCAAGTCTACGTTTATTTCTGAATCTTTTTCTACAGATCCCCTGGAAAATTCCCACATTCATTCAAGGTTGAAAGTCACTGTTTAAATGCCTCTAGTCATTCCGGAATTCTATTTGAGTAACTGACACTCTGGAAACCCACCTGGCTATAATATACAGAATGGATTAGGGATGCATTTAGGGACCTGTCAGAACCTACCAGTTCCTCTTGCAATGCTACCTCTTGCTGGCAATCCAGTAAGAAACTGGCCCAAAGACTGGAAATTCTGTGAAGGTCACCAATTACTGCTGCCTCTGCCAACCTTCACTGCTCCATTCACTGACTCCATCCGTCATTCATTCACTTGTCCCACAAGTGCTTTCTAGAAGTTTGTCGTGTACCTCTGTAGCGAACAAAACACATTCCTGCTTTTGTGGAAATTACACTGGATGGTTGAACATTCTTGTTAACACTTCAGTATGAGGAGCCGGCGCTGTAGCTCACTCGGTTAATCCTCCGCCTTGCAGTGCCAGCATCCCATATGGGTGCCGGGTTCTAGTCCTGGTTGCTCCTCTTCCAGGCCAGCTCTCTGCTGTGGCCCAGGAAGGCAGTGGAGGATGGCCCAAGTCCTTGGGCCCTGCACCCACATGGGAGACCAGGAGGAAGCACCTGGTTCCTGGCTTCGGATTGGTGTAGTTCCAGCCGTAGCAACCATTTGAGGGGTGAACCAACGGAAGGAAGACCTTTCTCTCTGTCTCTCTCTCTCTCACTGTCTAACTCTATCTGTCAAATAAAAAAAAAAAAACAATATAAAAAACACTTCAGTATGAGGAAACTTCAAAAAGTTCACAGAAAATTGAATTAAATATTTTGGTGCAAAAATGTTTCCAATTCATATACATCAAAGAAGCTTTCAAAAGCTCATGGAAGATATGTATTAAGAAAAAGTGTTGCATGGATTTCAAGACTTTTTTTGTGCTAAAATATACTTACCTTTGAATTTCATTTTCCACAAACTTTTTGAAGTACCTTCATATAGTGGATCTTTAAGGAATTCAGAAAGAGTTTGTTTGTGAACTTTTTGAATCCACCAAATAAGCAGCGATTCCAATTTCAGGTGAACCTGGGCCACCTGCGGATGAAGATTCTTGTCCCCGAATCCCAGGGCTCCCTGGGGTGCCCGGCCCAAGAGGGCCAGAAGGAGCCATGGGATTCCCTGGACAGAGAGGACCCCCAGGTCAAGGTATGCACCCTCACTGTTGTCAATGTATTGCTGAGATGAAAACCTACGTGCTTTACTGTGGAGGTTTTATTTGGATCCTGTACAAATAGAAAATATGAAGCAATGGACATTTGTTTCCTCATTGTTCCAAAAGCTTAATCATGGTCCTAACTAGATCTACACTTCCTCCCTATTATAGTTGTTGTCGTCATTGTTGTTGTTGAACTACTTCAATCTTTCATACTTGGTAAGCTCGTGGACATAAGGTTTTGAAACTTCTTAGCACAAACGAGTGGATGCTGGATTAATAGTCATTAATAGCTGTTGACTTGATTTTGAACTAAAAACAACTGAAGTAGGGCTTATTAGAGCAGAATCAGAGCCTGCAGAAGGAAGTTTAATCACTTAGAATGGGGAGAGGGAGACAGAGGAGGGTTGCTCTAAATTTGGCAATGACACCGTTGTTCACTTACCCATTTAAGCATTGTTCTGTCATTGTCAGGGTAACAAGACCCTTATTTAAGTATCTAAACCCTTATTTAAAGTTGTTAAAATACTGCACTCCAGTTGGTTTACATATCCCTGTAGCATTGGTAATTTACAAAGAGATTAGCAGGACCAGAGCTGAGCACATAGACATCCCTGGTCTCTTCAGACCAGCTGGCAGTGCCCATGAGTCTAGAAAATCCTGTGCAAATTATTCAAAGGGGTGACGTGAGGTTGCTCCTGCTCCCTCTCCCATTTCTCTTGCTGCCCAGCTATGATTTTTTTTTTGGCTCAGGGCCAAAGGAATTAGATGCAGAACTGAAATTTTCTACTACTTGTTTTGCTTTTTGTTCCCCAAATACAAGAAGCTAAGCACCCAAGAAATCCTCCCTCAACTGGAGTCCTAGTTGTTTTTGGTAGGTAACCAGAACATCTCTGGAGCCTTCCTCAATTAATATGGGCATCTTTTCTGTACTCCCTACACTGCATGTGTGTTTATGCATAAAATTAACTGGGTGACCCTTGTAGCAATGTCCTTGAACAGCCAGTAAGCACTAGGAGTTGAGTCAGTACTTATTTAACTTCTCTATCTTTGGGACTCATTGCCTGGATAAAGTTCTCTTTTAGAGAGTATAACTGTCACTCAATCTCATTATACTTTCTTACATATAAAAAACATGGCACTGGGTGCTGTGGGTGATATAAAGATGAATATGATGTATTTTCTCATGCCAGGGTCTCAAGATCTTATAGCAGAAGTAGCTAACAGTACCCAAGTATCTTGCAATAATGGCCCATTATAATTCATGCTTTACAGGAGTTGTGAGCTGAGGGCACTCAGAGCTTGGGGCAGGGAGAGGTTAATTCCAGTATAGATAACTGCAGGCCTGCAGCTCTGGTTTGGCTATAGTTTGTCCATGTGCTGGAAACTTGGCCCCCAGTGTTTGGTGTTGAGCTGGAGGAAGCTTTAGGAGGCTGGGGTAGTGAAAGATAGTAAGGGCATGGAGACTGCACCCTCACGAATGAATTATTGCTGGTCTTGTGGAGGGAGGTGGGTCTTTCTTTCTTTCAAGAGTGGGTTGTTACAAAGTGAGGCTACCCATGGTCCTGGTCTGCTTTGCACACCACCCATTCCCTTTCTTTTTCTCTGCCATGTTAGGACATAGCCAATGGTCTTTCACCAGGACGCTGGTGCCATGCTGTTTGGCCTCCAGCCACCAGACCCATGATCCTAGTAAACCTCTTTCTGTTAGCTAGTCTCGGGTATTTTGTTAAAGCAACTCAACATGAAGTAAAACAATCACTTAAGGCCCCAATAAGAGGCGGCATTTGAGCAGAGACTTAAGGAAAGTTTTGGCCTTAAGGAACTTGAATTGTCCAACAGGCAGATGACATGAGCACAAGTAGGGTGGGTGTATACTCTCTGTCACATACAAGTGGATAAGTGGATGTGTGTACACACACAGAACCTAGGAGGACATGTTGGACTATACTGCTTGTGATTGTGGATGACTTTGTTCTTTGCTTCTTATGTTTTTCAGTTTCCTGTAATGCACTTACTAACTTTTAAAGGTTATTTTTTTTTTAAGATTTATTTTATTTATTTGAAAGACAGAGTTAAAGAGAGAGATAGAGACAGACAAAGGTCTTCCATCTGCTATTTCACTCCTCAGATGGCTGCGACGGCCAGAGCTGCGCCGATCCAAAGCCAGGAGCCAGGAGCTTCTTCCGGGTCTCCCACATGGGTGCAGGGGGCCCAGGACTTGGGCCATCTTCTACTGCTTTCCCTGGCTATGGCAGAGAGCTGGATCGGAAGTGGAGCAGCCGGGACTAGAACTGGCACCCATATGGGATGCCGGTGCTTCAGGCCAGGGCTTTAACCCACTGCGCCATAGCGCTGGCCCCTGGTGGCTATTTTAGAAACCAAAGAAAAAGAAAAGAAACCAAGTAGGGCAGGGCAAATTGGCCTACTCACCTGGTAAGGAGAAGCCAGCAACATCCTTGGTACTCTAAGTGGGGTCTGAGAACCAACAGTAATTCAAGGCTTCACCTTAGACTTCCTGCGTCAGAACCTGCATTTTAACAAAGTCCCCAAGATATTCACATACACATTCAGGTCTGAGAAGCCTTAAGATTGCGCTCTGAGTAACCTGATCTTTGTGACTCAATCCTGGCTGAAGGCTGAAGCCACCTGGAGGAGACTGTAGAAGTACTGGTTCTGGGGCCTCGATCCAGACAAGAGACTGTGCAGAGGGGAAGGGCCTGAACATCAGTGCTTTTGCAGATGAATGCAGCAGGCAGCCAGGGTTGAAACCCATTGCCTCAGCCCAACATCAAAATCGAACCCAGATAGGTGATTCTATTCACCTATGGTTGTGACTTTGGAAAATAACCCACAAAAGTGACAAAGAAGGAAATAACATCAAATGGCTAAAGTCTTCAACTTGAATTTAATAGTTGCCTTTGGCCCATGTGAGCTTCTCTCCTTGCCCTGTGAGCTTCTGTGTGGCCTCGCCTCCATTGCCTGTGGTCTGTAATGCCTCCTTCAGAGGCTGGTATCCTCAGGAGGGCCTTCTCTGACTTCCTATCCCTCTCCTTACTGATGCTGCTGACCCTGCTTCCTGGAAGTGGAGACACTCCAGGCCACCTCTTTGTGATCATTGTTGGGGAAATGTGAGTATGCAGTCCTTCGGTGAAGCTTTACCCCCCTTTCCCACAGTCTCAGGGCATGGGCTGTGCTACTCCATGGCCCAGCTTCCCTGAGGTTCCTTTCTGCCCTACTATGTGCCTACTCCCAAGCATTTCTTTCAGGCCCCTCTTCTCTGATACATGACTCCTGTATCAAAGGACCCTTCTTTCTCCACCAAATATTCCTGGGTCTCCTCTCCCTGGCTATTTCTGCTGGAAACCTTGGAGTTGGAAGCCAAGGGTATTAGAAGGGGACAGACAGAAACTCACCCCAGCATAGAGGAGTAACACTGGCCAGCCCATCCAGCAGCTAGAAGATGACAAGTCCATGCTAATGGCCTGAACTGGCCCAGATGGCTCATTCAGAGGTGTTAGTAGACTATACTCATACACTGTACCCTCTCGGTTGGTTGTGAAGAAGCAGCTGCTGCTAGAAGGAATGACCTCCACCTATAATGGCATCGTTGGCTCCTTTCTTCCTGTTTTCACTTCAAAGCCTGCTCTTCCATCACGAAGCTGACTTTGTAACACAGCATTGCAGCCAGGACCTACCCGCATCTGCTCTTCCCAGCCACGTGAGTGAGCGGGGAACAGCCACAGTCCTTGTACCTCGTGTCAGGAGTCCGTCACCGCAGCAGGTCTCGTACTACTCTCCCCACAGATCTCTTTGATCTGCAACATTTCCTTCCAGCATGATTTCCTAGAAGAGACACAAAAGCAGTTTCCATTGTGTCTCGAATGGGGCCTGCCTGAAGACTTGGCCCCCATCTGGACAGGCATCTTCATGTCACACGTGATCCTCTGAGAGGATGTATCCCATCTGACAGTGGAGAGCAGTACAGATGCACTTTCATGCCTTAAAACTAATTACAAGTAAAAACCAAGCCCAGGTGGTAGAAGGTTCTAGGCATCTGACTCAGGTACCTTCCTTCCTGTCTCTCAGGAAATGTCATCCACCTTACAGTTTCTCTGTCTTACTCTAAAGGGAACAAAGCCTACCTTATAACATCTTGGCATAGGGATTTTTCCCAGATCCTGTGACCTCCCTGTAAGGCTACACATCAGGGGGAATGTCTGCTTGCCTGGTCAATGCAAGGACACAGACAAACCCATGAGCTTGACAGCTTGTCAGCACTTGGCTCTTTGCAGAATAGCTAGTGGCCACATGCTGGAATCATCTTGTCCAGCAGACAGATAAAAGAATGCTCTGAGCTCAGCGCTGGGCCCTCTGTTCCTTCCAACACTGCTGAGATTCTCTTTGAACCTGCTTGCAAGAGCTGCGCCAACTCGCATCTGTGAACACCATCCAGGGAGAGGAGGTTCCTGTCCAGACACTGGGAACGGGAGGGCTCCACCCAGACGGGGAGGATGAGACGTTTTGCTCTCACTTCCTGCATGGTGACCATGTGGAAAATGCAGTCCAGGCACTGGGGTGGGGGCAGAGAGGACTCCAAAAGAGCTCACTTATAATCCAAAGGGTATGACAGTGTGATGACAGCACACTGAACACTGGGACAGCCGCATGGAACAGCTCACCCAGCACTGAGGGAAGAGCTGGAATGGTTGTGGGATCCTCTGAGGCTGATAATAGTAGAAAAAAATTTTTTAGGCATTGAGGAGCATGTGTTTCAAGTGGCTAAGGGAGGTTGGATGCATGCAGGTGAGCAGAGTGAAGCCAGACAGCTGCCTGTTCACCTAGGTACAGTCCCTGTGCTAACCACCTCCCCACTCTCCAAGAACAAATCCAAGCACCTAAAATGTTGTCTTTTCTCTGGGCCCATCCCAAACTCTATCCCCAGCCATGCCCCACTCCTGTAAGCCCTAAAGGCACCATACCCTCCTCGTTGCTCTAGGTCTTTCTTTGCACATGCTGTTCCCTCTGCCATACACCCTTCACATGGATGGCATCAGTGTTTCCTCAACTTCAAGGTCCCCTCTGAGGGGGTGCTCACTGCTAGAATCCCAAACCCAGAGCTGGCACCGTTCGCTTTGCTCTTTGTGTCTCTTCTACTTATAATCCTGATTGTCATATTTGCATTACCAGAGGTTTATGTCTTTACTGGTTTATTTTGTACATCCCCTCTACATCAGAAGCCAAAAAATGTTTTCTGAACAGATCCAGAGAGTAAATATTTTAGGTTTTGGAGCCAGATGATCTCTGCTGTGACTCTGTGGGCGTAGCATGGAAGCAGCCATGGATGACGCACGAGGGAGTGAGTGTGTTCCAATGTGACTGCGGTTACAGAACTGGCAGTGGGTGGTCTGCAGACTGTCACCTGCCAACCCCTGCTGTAAAGGCTGCAGGAAGCTTGAGGGTGGGATTTTGTCTTATTCAGTGTTGAGTCCTGGGTCATGGGAGATATTTGATCAATATTTGGGGAACAAATACATCACCCTTGAACGTAGCCTGCAGATGGGACAGGATGTCTCAGATTCAGCCCTGTGCACATTGGAAGCCAGGTAACCCTGAATCCTGCAGGGATGTGCTGTGCACTGGAGGGTGTTGAGCAGTATCCCTGGCTTCCACCCCATTTATGCAAGAGGCAGCCCCCAAATGCCTCAGACATTGCCAAATATCCCAGTGGGTGGGGCACAAGCACACCATGTGGAGAAACATTTGTGTGCAGGGAAAGGAGCAGGTGCATCAGAGATGGGTAATGGTGACATTAGCTTCAGGGTGGTCCTTTGGTAAAGGGGGAAATTCCTTTTAAAAAAGTAAGAAAAAGAAAAGCAAACAAAGGACTGAAACACATTTTTAGAAGGCACAATCGCCTGTACATTTTCCCAGTCTGTGCATTCTCAAGAAGAGACCATCCAATACACGTCTCTTTGTAAACTGCCCTTCTTAACATGCTGTTACTTCTGTGTCATTTCATGTTTTCCTGAAATATTATCTGTAGTAGCCATCCAGTATTGCAAAATATGATGATGCCATCATTTATTTAACCAGCACATTTGCAAATTATTAATCAATGTCTTTGGTGCCAGCTGTTCTGCCGGAAAATAAAATAATGCAGCCAGGCCCTGCCCGTGAGAGCAACAGGGTAGCAGAAAATGAAGGCTTGAAAGTTCTCAAATGATAGGGTGGAATATGGAACAGGGCAACTTAACCTGGACACAGGCCAGGAAAGTTTCTTTTTTTTTTTTAAATTTATTTGACAGATAGAATTAGTGAGAGAGAGAGACAGAGAGAAAGGTCTTCCTTCCGTTGGTTCACCCCCCAGATGGCTGCTATGGCCGGCGCACTGCGCCGATCCGAAGCCAGGAGCCAGGTGTCTCTTTCTGGTCTCCCATGTGGGTGCAGGGGCACAAGCACTTGGGCCACTCTCCACTGCCCTCCTGGGCCACAGCAGAGAGCTGGACTGGAAGAGGAGCAGCCTGGACTAGAACCCAGCACTTATATGGGATGCCAGCGCCACAGGCAGAGGATTAACCAAGTGAGCCACAGCACCAGCCCCAGGCAAGGAAAAGTTTCAAAGAACGTCTGGGGCCTTGGTTCTCAAGTCCAGGAAGCATCCAAATCCTCAGCTGCTATTGCGAGAGACATGGAGAGGGCTCTGAGGTTCCTGATTTTTCACAAATGCACAGTCCATGCTGCTGGCCAGGGACTACAGACAAGGACCCCTCTGATTTCAGGTGTTTGCACCTTCTCACGGTGATAAGCAGTAGGTCACAAATCTCTTCCTAGATAATGAGATGATGAGTAAACCGGATTATAACAGGGAAATAGCATAAGGAACAGATTCACTAGAAAGAGTTTTACATTTTAAATCATCTAGAACAACGGTCCTCCAGGTGTGTGGCTCCCTGGGGCCTGCAGCCTCAGCATCACCTGGGACAGGCTGAAAACGCAGACTCCCCGGCACTACCCAGATCTACTGAGGCAGGTACAGTTCTGTTCTGCAACTGCTTAAGGCGTCTGTGCTCAGGAGCAGCAGAGCCTGTGTCGTTGTGATGTTGCTCAGGTGCTTGGTGGGGGAAGTACAAGAGTCAGGGACGCCCCTGGCAAGTCAGCACCTGCACTAGGGCTGAATGCAGGTAGGGCCCGGCTTGGGCCGACAGAGGCACAGGGAGAGCCTCTGGTTTCTTCCAGCTTCTCCAAGCCAAACCAAACCTCCTTTAGCCTCTGTGCATTCTCTCCAAGGTAGGGTTGGTGTGTCAAGGCCCAGGTTCTGGGCCAGTGTCTCTTGTCAACATTTATTTTATGGGCTGCACCCTCCTCATGGGTAAGGTTGGTCCCTTGAGGTGGGTTGGTAGGAAGGTGGCTTGGGGAGTTCCAGAGGTTGACTAGCATCCTCTTTTTCACACACCTACAGGAAGGCCAAGGCAGAAGGAAAGAGAAACGGTCCCTTCAGTGAGCCTCTCTGGCTTGCTGGTTGGTTTTAGGCTATGAAAAAAGTCTGTTGGGGCTGCTTTATCAAGATAGCACAGCCAGGGCGGCTTAAGCAGCAGACTCTCAGTGCCTCACCGTTCTGAGGGTAGAAGCCCAAGATCCAGGAGCTGGAGGTCTGGTTTCTCCTGAGGCCCCTCTCCTTGATTTGCAGGTAGCTCTGCGCTCTGTGTCCCCACATGGTCTTTCCTATGCACGATCCCAAGACATGCGTCTCTGATGACTCTGTATGTCCTGCTGCCCTCTTTATGAAGACCTCAGTCAGACTGGATTAGGACCCACCTTGATGGCCTCATTTTAACTTAATCATACATTTAGGGGGCCTATTTCCAAATAAGACTTTCTGGGATATTGGGAGTTAGGACTTTGATATATGATTATTTTTTTTTTTTTGTCAGGGGACAAGCAAATTGGTCCACCATAGGCTAATTCATAACAGAGAGAGAGAGAGAGAGAGAGAGAGAGAGAGAGAGAGAGAGAATGAGGATACCTGGACAGGACTAGTTATTTGGGCAGTCATGGCTTATGACAATAAACTGCTCCAAGGATGGTAACCGTGTCTGCTATGCTGACCAAATAGAGCTTGTGGCTCAGGATTGATGTTTGACAAAGAGAAGTAACCAGACATGTAAGGATTAGCACGAGTGCTCCAGGGGTGCACAGCTTAAGTCCTTTAATGATGCGCCAAGCCCTGAGCTGGTCCAGAGGCAGAGAATGGGGGAGATGGTGCAGCCTCTGCACTCAGCCTCCCTGGGCCAAAGTTTCCTTTCTGTGCATGATCTGCTCCATGGCCTTTCTGAGCCTGTCTGCTTCCTTGTGGAGCAGGTGACTGAGAATGTCCCACTAGCTTGTCACTGTGAGAACTGAGATGGATAGTCCATGTAGCAGGGGTGGGTGAAGTGCAGCCCATGGGCCATATAAGGCCTGTGAAATCATTTGGTCTATTCCTGCCAAGGCAACTGCAGGTGGAACTCTAAACTCAATAAATATAGGGCAAGATAATTTTTAAGTTGAGAATTTTGTATGGTCTGTGAATGATTTTAAGAATAACCAATGGCCTTAGGCAGGAAAAAAGGTTCCCCACCCATGGAAAGGAGTGACATGGCACCTGGCACCTTGCAGGGACTCGATGGAAAGCTGTTTTAAGAAATTGCTTTTTTTCACCTGGTTCCAAATTTAACTTGACCTGCAACTGGATACTACTAGATTTCACTCATTTCTCCATCTGGACTTTAAAAAACGATTATGAATGATAATGTTTAATTAAAAAAGGCAGAGGTGCTAATTATTTCAAAAAAAAAAGGAAAAAGGTTTAAGAATATAAAGAAATGTGAAAACCTCTCTTTCAGCAACTTCCTGGTCTGGCTTAGCATCCTATTGGTTGAACCCTTTACTTAGTGTAGGGTTAATCTTATGAGTATGAAGTAAACTGAAAATAGATCTTTGCAAAAATTAAAAGTAGGAATCAGAGAGGGAGGAGGAAGAGGAAGGGTGGGAGTGTGGATGGGAGGGAACGTAGGGCATGAAGTATCACTGTCTTCCTAAATCTGTATAAATGAAATACATGAAATTTGTATACCTTACATAAAATTAAAAAAAATCTGGCCCAGCATTTTATGGGCTCATTGACTGAAGTGAGGTCAAGCTACTGACCCCTCAGAGCCTCGGGGACCCGCACTCCACATGGTCGGGAAGACTTAGTGAGCTGGTGCTGCCGGGTCCAAGTGGGAAGGTAGCCCCAGGCTGGCACGGGCAGTGCTGCCTGCAGACGTCATGGCTGTTCTCACCACCGCCTTCATGACCTTTCACACAGGGTGCAAAGGAGAGCCTGGACTGGACGGCAAGAGGGGCAGGGATGGAGTCCCTGGGGCTCCTGGGCCTCCTGGACACAAAGGTGACACTGGAGAAGCCGGCCGCCCTGGAGCACCAGGTACAGAACTTCAGTTTCTCCTCTTTTGTCTGACAGCGTCCACTGGGAACTGTATATGAGCTCTCCGACCCTTCTCTAGTTGCCTTTCAAATGGGATCCTGTTTAAAGCATTTGCCTCGGATACCTACTCAGCAGGCATTAGGGCCTCAAAGGCAAAGAGAACAGAGCAGAAGGCTCTCCTATGCTAATTGACGCTAAGCCATCATAAAAGCTAGCCCAAGGCCTGGGAGACGCGTCTGGTGTTTCCCCAGAGTGCTGCACTTCATCGGAAGAGGCCTGCTCAAGGTTGTGAGCGACTGTCAGCCTGTTTGTTGGGGGATCACCTGGAGACGCTTTGTTCTGTGGGTCTGGGGGCAGTGGGTGCTGCTCACTCTCTACAGCTAGAGCTTCACTCCTCTGAGTTCACGTCATCTTAGCCTATAACCACCAGTGCATTCCTATGGAATAGAAGGCTCTTACTGCAACGGATTGGGGAGTGTGTTTTGGTCAAGGTAAGAGGGGTTGAGACATGAAAATACTTTCAGAAAGCTTATGGGAAAAATGGGGTTAAAAGAGAAGTTTATCTTGGCACAAAGACATTTTGAAATCTATGCATAATTTATCATGATTTTCCACAAACTTTTTTTAAAAGCAGATTTGTTTATTCTAAAGGCAGAGCATCAGAGAGAGAGGGACAGAAAGAGAGAGATCTTTTATCCACTGGTTCACTCCCCAAAAGGCTCAACACTAAGGGCTTAGCCAGGCTGATACCAGGTTCCAAGCAATCCATCTGGGTTTTCCACATGGGTGGCAGGGACCCAAACATTTGGGCCATCCTCTGCTGCCTTCCAAGACACATTAGCAGCGAGCTGGATCAGAAGTGGAGCAGCTGCGACTCAGGTGTTCCAAAGCAGCACCTTAACCTGCTGTCCCACAGTGCCAGCCCTTCCTGAGAACTCTTTAAGACCCTTTGAATGATTCTTCAGACTAGGTATTTGAAATTGAATGCACCAGGTAGCATGTCAGGCACAGGGGACCCAAAGACTCCATGACAGGATCTCATCTTTGGAGACTGGTGAGAGGCGTAGACTCCAATACCAGGTTGCAGATGGGTAGGAGAGGCTGAGGAGGGCTCAGTGGGTTCTGCAGCAAAGGGGCATTCATTTCTAAGAGCTGCAAGTCGGCTTCAGCCTGCTGTTGCCTGTAGGCATGTGGGCTCAGTGTTCCCTACACTCTGTTTTCCTCCAGATCCAAAATTTCAACTTGTAAAATTGTGACAGGGCTGATGCAGTCCCCAGCTACCCCACTTTGCAATTTCAGGTTCACAGTGTGGACGTGGAGAACCTGTCAGTCTTGCAGAAACAGATTGGCAGAAACCAAAATGAGACACCTTTGGATTTCAAGGTCTAACTTCACCTTTGCCTTTGGCAATTAGAAACAGCCACTGGCCTCTTGAATAAGTCAGACCCTGTGAGGTGTCACAGGACACAGACCCAGCTCATGTTTTGTAGAACTGGTCACTTCCTGCATGCCAACAAGAACTCCAGAGACAGGATTTCCTTCCATCTCCCTCCTTTATAAAAGATATGCAAAGGGCAGACTCATGAGTCCCAAAACCTTACCCTACTCAGCATGGAACCTACAGTGTATCAGAGCTGTGAGGCAGGCTGGCTTTCAGGGCCCCCTGCTCCCATCAGTGTGCAAAGGCAAGGGGACCAGTCTTGGGGACGTCCTTTCCCTCTGAGATCTTCCCTGCTCAGCACGTCAGTCCTCAGCCTTGAGGAGGACAGGAGTTTCCCCTGCTATGTGTTTTTAAGCTCATGTAGCTCAAGAACTTAGAGCTTGCTTGGAACAAACACAGATACCCCTCCATATTCCTGGGGGACTGGTTCCAGGATGCCTGGAGATTTAAAAATCCATGGATGCACAGACCTCTTATACAAAATGATGTGGTATTTACATAGAACCTACAGATACCTTCTGTGCACTTTAAATCTAAGAATATGCACATAGTTGTTATACTGTATTACTTAAGGGATACTTACAAGAAAATAGACTAGAGACGAATGTAATTTTTTAAAAAATATGAGCTGAAGTTGGATGAGACGGTGGGGGCAGAGGCTGTGGATGAGGAGAGTGGACTGTGCTGGATGAGCGGTGCTTGTGTGTCTTGCATCTGTGTGGGGAGGATGCTTCCCTCTGTTCCCTGAGTGCTCAGCACAGTACGAGGGCAGAGATGCTCAGGCCATTTGTTAGATGGAACTCCCTAAACTTTGCTTTGTTTTTTTCTTTATTCCTCTAGGCCCCCCTGGTCCTACTGGGGACCCTGGCCCCAAAGGGCTTGGCCCTGGTTACCTCAGTGGCTTCCTCCTCGTCCTCCACAGTCAGACAGACCAAGAACCTGCCTGTCCCATGGGCATGCCCAGGCTCTGGACTGGGTATAGCCTCTTGTACCTGGAAGGACAAGAGAAGGCTCACAACCAAGACCTTGGTATGGACAAACCCTGTGATCATGTGGCCATTGCTTTTGAACAAAGCTTTAGGATTAATTTTACAGACTCAACACATCTTGAGTGATTACTGATCTTCAATGGGAATATTACTTTATTTTTCCAAAACTACCATGGTAATTCTTAGCTAATTTCATTTAATCTGCTATCCTCTGAAGTACCAAAGGGATGCATTCTGGGTAGTTATTCTCTAGCTCCTTATTATGAATTTTTTAAAAAAGAGATTCTTCCTTGGTTATTTAGATGTAACTCTGTTAAGAAATCCAGTTTTTCTTCCAGCTATAAATGACTTAATCAGGACATGGTTAGCTCCTGTTTTATTTGTAAAAGGGTGCACGGGCAGCACCTGATGGCTAGGTCATGGCACTTGCCAGCATCAACTGCTTGCCCTACTCCAATTTTCTTTTCTTTTCTTTTTTTTTTTTTTTTTTCCTGACAGGCAGAGTGGACAGTGAGAGAGAGAGACAGAGAGAAAGGTCTTCCTTTTGCCGTTGGTTCACCCTCCAATGGCCGCCACTGCCGGCGCACCGCGCTGATCCGATGGCAGGAGCCAGGTGCTTCTCCTGGTCTCCCCTGGGGTGCAGGGCCCAAGTACTTGGGCCATCCTCCACTGCCTTCCCGGGCCACAGCAGAAAGCTGGCCTGGAAGAGGGGCAACCGGGACAGAATCCGGTGCCCGCCTGGGACTAGAACCCGGTGTGCCGGCGCCACAAGGCGGAGGATTAGCCTAGTGAGCCGCGGAGCCGGCCCAATTTGCTTTTCAATCACAGAACTTGATTTTGAGGTCGCCCGTGGGTGCTCCTTGTCCATTGTCAACAGTAGACTTGTAAGCTTTGGGAAGCAGTTTCAGGGCAAGAGTGTAACTCCCTGGGTGCTGGCAAACACTGTCTCCAAGACAGTGGACGACACCCACCATCTGGGGCCATGGATGGTGAGGTGGTCTTGCAGTGCTCTCCCTGGCCATGCCCCCAGCTGTTAGTAAGGGTGGTCAGGAGTGCAGCCCCAGGGCGGCAGCTACTAAATGTCCGTCTTCTTTTCCCCCACGAAGTTGTGTCATTGCCTTTCCTATCATAAGGGCCTCGTTTCATGAGTGCAGGGGAAAGGAGGACGTAATACTTAACATTTTGACCTATGAGTATTTTCTTCTTTGTCCCTCTCCCTTGTGCCAGCAGCCTCTTTCCTGCCTGGTCTAGCCAGAAGTCTTACTTCTCCTGCCCTGGTCTAAAGTTGTACAGAACACTGGGGATAACACCCAAACTCCTTAACAAGATTGACAAGGCCTGCATGCTCTGGTCTGATTGTTTTCTGGACGCCCTGAGACAATCAGCACAGTCACAAGCTCCTGCCATTGCCCTCCCTGGTCAACTTCTTTGAGTTCTCCAGGTTCTCTGAGTTCCATACCTCTGGCCTTCCTTTGAATGGCCATCACTACCACCTCCAACCCTGGCTAAATCCTTTTCCTATTTCAAATGTAGCTTAAAACAACTCCTTCCATTTGTTCTTCCCTCAAGTCCAGGTGTCCCGTGCTTCTCATTCACCAGGCTTGTCTTGCCATCTGTTCACAGCCCGTTTGCTTATCCCTTTCACCAGGGCCATAAGCTTCAGGACCCATTGTGGGCTCCACAGGAAAGGGTGAGAGGACAAAGGCTGTCCCACAGGGCCATGGGGTGGCAGAAATGGTTTCGCCACCACAGAGGTAGGCTTTGGCAAGGGCATCCATGTATCAGAAAACATGTCTGTGAACATCATGGGATGGACAGGTCACTGGGTACACCTGCGCCGTATGCTCAAACATCTTTTCCTCCCTCCCAAGGTCTGGCTGGGTCTTGCCTTCCCATATTTAGCACGCTGCCCTTTGCCTACTGCAACATCCACCAAGTGTGCCACTACGCCCAGAGAAACGACAAATCCTACTGGCTGGCCAGCGCTGCCCCCTTACCCATGATGCCGCTCTCAGAGGAGGAGATCCGCCCATATATCAGCCGCTGTGCCGTGTGTGAGGCCCCGGCACAGGCGGTGGCGGTACACAGCCAGGACCAGTCTATCCCCCCATGCCCGCGAGCCTGGAGGAGCCTCTGGATTGGCTACTCCTTCCTCATGGTGAGTCCCCTGCCCTTGAACCCTGCTACACCTGCTGTTTCTAACACCGTCTGCTTCCCTTTTGGTCTGAACTACACAGTAATTCTGTGTGCTCTGTGCGGACAGCAGTAAGGACGACAGCCCTAAAGGCTTCAGCCTACTGAGATGCAGGGGTGAAACTGTTGTTGATTTACTGTCAGTTAATTTTTTTCTTACCACTTTGGTAGAATCTGTAAGAGGCATTTACGTCAGTTACCGGCAAAATTTGCTCTATTTTGGGTGTAACCCAACTTGTGTTTTGTTCTTTATTGAATAACTTAAGGAAAAATGTTAAAATCAGGCACTGACTTGGGCATATCACTGATGGGGTCTGGGGCTGTAAGTGTCTGAGTTCTAATGCTCTCTTTGTCTGGGTAGCACACAGGAGCTGGGGACCAAGGAGGAGGGCAGGCCCTCATGTCTCCTGGAAGCTGCCTGGAAGACTTCAGAGCGGCACCATTCCTCGAATGCCAAGGCCGACAGGGCACGTGCCACTTCTTTGCAAATGAGTATAGCTTCTGGCTGACAACGGTACCACCAGACTTGCAAGTTTTCTCTGCCCCATCACCAGACACCTTAAAAGAAAGCCAGGCCCAGCGCCAGAAAATCAGCAGGTGCCAGGTCTGCGTGAAATACAGCTAGAGACTGCAAATGTTGCCTCCCTGTGGCCAGGAGGACTTCTTGGGGAGGCAGGGGTGGGGAGAGGGGCAGAGAAGGGGTGCCAAGACTATCTGAGCTGTGCTAAGAGATTTAATGGTGCTCATTTTAAACTCTGCTATTCCTTTAGTCTCAACCTATCTGTTCCCACGGTCCTCTAATTCCTCCCTCTGCCCTTTGCTGATTAAGCATGTGCTACATGCATGGATTTGTTTGGACCTACCAATCTAGATGGAACCCAGATATTCTTATTTTATGGAGGCTGATGGAAGAGCTGGTTTATTTTAAAATATGCTAATTCATAGGAAGGCAAGTAGATGATAAAGGCGAGATTACAAATCACATTACTGAAAACTTCATTCATTGGTTAATAGCACCTCAAACAATTGAAGTCAATTACCCTATAATATAGTGGGCTTTGGGATGGATTTTATGGGAATGAATAAATAGGCCAGCAAATGAAACTAGAAAGTAGAGATTTTCAATGTTTCAAAATGATTTCCTCTGTAATCTATTTTTCCATGCACTTTAAATAATTGTAAAACCATGACCCAAAGAGATTAAAAAAAAATCCACATTGCCAGCATTCACAGTTCATTTCAGAGCAGAATGAACCATTATGCCGGGAAGGCCCACAGTTGCTGTATTCTAGAGATGCGACATTAGCATAAACACATCACAGATGAATATGAAACATTATGTTCTCTTCTGCATTTTTCAGAGAATAGAAATGCCTTCTTTGGCAACCCTTTTGAAAAGTAGTAATTATGGAAAAAATATATTCACCAAGGGATTAAAGGCCTAAAAGCTATTAATGTATATTAAGGTAGTGATTCACAAAAACGGACTCCCCATTGCTGTGAACTTCCAAACAGAGCGCCTTTCCCCAGTCGGGGTCCAGCACGTCCTCAGAGCTAATGGGCCCGGAGCCACATGGGGTTTACTGAGGCAGGGACACAGGCCCTGCAAAGCATCTCGCTCCCCTCCCCAGGAGAACCCCCAGAGCACCCCTGCAGATCATAGCGGCCACTTTTCCTCCATGCACATAATGGCAGCTCACACGGGGAGGTGACAGAGCTATCATTATGCACTTGGGAGAAAATGAAGGGCCGGCTTAATTAAACATAGGTGAGAAGATTCATTCAAGTTGGGGTCACCCCACCAGGCAAGCATGGCCCTTTCTTTAAAGGAAACAAAGACGATCTATAATCTGGCTTTTATGTTCCTGTGATTGGTTTTCTCCGGGGGCATCCCATATTTCCAATTTTAAAAATATTCTCTCATATTTTATATCAGTATTGTGCCAAGGCAGCACTTTGACATTTGGCATTCACGTTTTCTCTACAAATTTAGAAGACACATCAATTTGTAATGAGTAAGTTTTCTAAATAGCAAAAGGTCTGCTTTCTGTTTTGCTAGGAGCTCAGTGGTTTAATCCTACAAATCAAAAGGTATTTTAGGAAAGATTTTTAGGAAACTTGCCTACCTCACCAAAAATAAATGTCATTTTGAGGAAAACTAAAGAAATTTCTCATGAGAGTAACACTCATTTTAGTGCACTTAAAAATAATTGAGAGAAGAAAAACTCAATTAAAATTTTGTTTATAAGTACTGTTTTCTTTGCCAAATTTTGATTAGTAGTGAGCTCTTCCATGCAGCACACATTTCAAATGGGTTTTGCTACGGACTGCCCTCAGAATGGCAATTTATTTTAAGAATACTTTCTGGTAAGAAGAAAAATGTACATTTTAAGATGAAATATTTTCTTGATGTAGCAGAATATTTCCAAGTTTATTTGAGCCATCTTTAAAAAACTGTACTACTATATACCATACTAAGTATTTTTCAGTGCCTGAAATGTAAGCTGTTGTCAACTTTATTTTTACTTTTCAGTTCCTAAAACCTTTAACTATTACCAAAATTCAGGCCTCTTAAAGTTTGTCTGTTTATCATGAACTTAGTGTGAGAATGATTTCTGGGAAAAAGTAAGGGTGACAAATAGAACATGAGAAGCATATATTTACTTGTTACATTATTTTAAACACTTTAACTGTGATATTAGAATATGATCTGAATTAGCTTTATAATGTTAACATCAACTACAGGCTGGACTAAGGAAGATTTCCTATATAGAGAACCTGTATAGTGAGTTCAGAATATGGATATCACAACAGCCCTCTCTAAATGCAACACAAGTGCCACCTTCTGATTCTGAAAAGTATTTTAAATGGCCAAAGAGCAAGCTAATAGGAAAAATAACTTCTGAAAATAGAATACCATATTATTTTGTCATTATTGTCTTCAGCTGGATATATATCACTGTGCTTTTAAACATCCCTTCTCTGTGAAGGCCAGGAGTAAAGCCTTGAAGTTCTTGCTCATTACTAGGGATGATTCCTATCCCAATCTCCTTCCCAAGGACCCCCGGACCCCCAGGCCCCCAAGCCCCCAGGCCCCCAGGCCCCCAGATTGGTTGAATGCACTGAGAGTGCCCAATGGGGACTGCTGAGGCAGGAGCTGGCAGACTAGGATGCTCCCTTCTGGGTGTGCCTAGTGGTAAAGGAACCTATCCCTCCACACAGGCCTCCACGCCACAAGTGGCCAGTTCCTCCTGCTCTCACACTCCTCCGACTGGATCTTGCGTCATCCCTTCCTGGACATTGCTATCTCGCTTCCACCCTTCTACTTCTGCTCTTGCAAGTAACAGTCCCAACTGGTTTCTCATTTCACATCTCCATCGACATCTAAGATCCATCCAAAGTTGATTTTGTTATCCTTTGGCTTAAAACCCCCTTAATGACTCCACTTAATGACTCCCTTAATGAAATCCGATTGAGCTGGCATGGGGTGGGAGTTCCAGTGGGCACGCTGAGCCCTACCTCTGGGAGTATCTCCTGCACAGTGAACACCTTGTATAGTTCTGCAAACATGCAGAGTACCTCTGTGCCTCAGCTCCTGCTTTTTGTCCATCAGTGGTGTCTTTCCCCTCAGGTCCATTGACCTGGCAGACACCTACTTGGGGTATGTGTGAACTCCTCAACAGGGACCATGACTCCTTTCTGCTGCTCGCTGCACAACAGATGGTGCTGTCCTTTCTCCACGGTCATCTTTGTTCTCTGATGTCTCAGTGCACTTCTTTATTCCGTTGCTAAAATGCAACACCTTCAAGAGCAGGGACCATGTTTTGCTTGGTTTGTCTACCCAGTGCCTAGCACAAAGCAGGGTACATTACTGACACTTAAATCTTTTTTTTTCTTCCCAGTGACAATTCCACAAGGTCACTGGGCATTAGATGTGCTCTTCATACATGATCCCAAGTTAACCAAATGGTAGTAAGCATAAATCATTTATTACAAAATATCTGAATGTTATACATAGCTGCCTACCCACAATCTCTCATAAGATTATTGCCAGAAAGCCAATTATGAGTTTTAACCATCATTTTTCACACCTCAAAAATAGAGTATTACTTTTTTACAAATTGAAATTTCAGAAATCATGAGATTTGAAAGATTTGGCTGGGAGAAGACCTTTCATTTTAGCATGACATGACAGTGTATGCTGTAATCTCTGACCCCTCATGGTTGAAGAGATTTGTAGTACCAAATCACCTCTAAACAATTCACACATGTACATGTTATAGGTGCTAAAAAAAATATTTGATGGACTGGCCTGTTATTCTGAACCACTTATAAATTATAATAGAGCAAACCTACTGGCTTAGAGTTCCTATTGGCTGCTGGAATAACTTGATAATTGTTACTTCTGCTTGGTGTGGTTGCCAGAATACTACAAAGATGAGGACTTTAGAGTTGGCTGCATCCAAATTTGAACCTAGCTTTATCACTTTCCAGCTGTGTTACCCTGAGTGAGTTCCGCCAACTCCCTGAGTTTTATTTCTCTCGTTTCCAAGATGGGACATAACACCTACTGTTGTTTTGAAAATTAAGTTAGGTTGTCTGCCTAGCAGTCAATATGTCTAGAAGACATAGCAGTCATCATACATTTATTATGATCACATCTTTTATTTAAAATAAACTATTTAATATGAAAAATATTTCTTGTGTTTTTTACACTGTAGAATTCTATTATGATTCTCACAGGGCATATAAATTACTGATTAGAATTATTTATAACTGGCCAGTTCTTAATGTCTTTGAGAATGCTGTTTTATTTCAATTCTCAAAGCTACTGTACCACAAAAAAAATCACAATTTCCTGCAGGGACATTATCGGTAGGTTCTGCAGGGAACAAACAATTGACATTAAAAATCAGTACTCTGCAATTGTCACTGTTATTATCTGCCAGAAACTCTGCATAATGCATTTTAAACCACCAAGGCTGGCTGCCACATCCATGGGAAATGCTTGAATTTTATGGTGCTTAAATATTTAATGATTCATGGGGAAAATGTGAAATGTGTCCAATAAATTGCCTCCCGTTCTCTAACCTATGATTGTAAAGTTAGACTTTCAGCATGTAACTTTTGCAAGATGCCTGATCTGCCACTGACACTTAAATCTTTGTTGTATTATGATTTGTAATATGGCTCATTATACATAAAATTCTGTGATGACTTCCAAAACACCTGTGTTTTATCTGGTGCATTTATTTTCTTTCCAGACACAGTGGGTTTACTTTTTTTTTTTTTTTTAAACCTACTGCATAATATGGCCCACCCTTGTTGCTCGCTTTGTGAGGAATGTGACATAGTGGATGTATGAATCGCAGAAGGGAAAAGCATAGGCTAGGGAGGTCTATAAACACTGTTCTGACATGGTGATGGGGCATAGGAGAGGAATGAGACTGGATCTCAGGGGGAAGATCTGCATCAACCACGGTGAGTTGCCTGGGAAGCAAGCATGGGCACAAAGCTTACACCCTCTGGGCCTCGGCTGTTTGCTCCACTGAGTGAGAACAAGACCACCTGCTTGTCAGGGTGGTTTAGCAGATTAAAAGTGTGAAAATCTGCTACACTAAGAGATAAAATAGAGGGTATTGTTAGTTATAACCCCAGTAACCTTATTCTTCTTATAACCCCTGCATTGCTGAGCATGCGAAAATGGGTTATAGAATTCAACAAGTATCACTTAACCCTTTTGAAAGAGGGAACTGCAGTAGTATTTGGCCCAACCTTTCACCTGGTAAATAGGGACGATTGACTAACACGTCTTGACCAGCAGCTATATGACAGGAATAGATTAAACATGCTATATGTGCTCAACCCCACAACTGGGTACTGAGATTTAGAATCTGAATAAGTTGCTCAAGGTCACAGTTAGCACCTGTTGGAACTTGAACCCTATAGTCTGCCTTTCTAAATACAATGCTCTTACTACAGCATCGTCTCCCAAGAGCTACCCCCATTTGTGGGTTGATCAGCAGAGTGGCCCATGTGGATGCCATTTGGGTGCCCTGATCTCTTGCTATTGGTGCTAAGTCCCATGCCGTGGGTCTTCAGGCAGCCAGCCCAGCTCAGCCTAGAGACTGTCGGAAGCTGTTCTTGAGGGAAGGAGATGGAAAGTCTGTGAGGCCTATATCTCAGGGTCAAGTAACAACCAGTTGACCACTAGTTGCACCAGGTCAGTCATTCCGGAGATGGCTCTGAATGGGAGATAGAACCATCTGGAAGTCCTTATTTGCCTCTCCCAGAGGCTCAGTCACTGCAGCACTGGCCAATGTAGCTCCTTATTATTTTTAATAACACATAATAATAGTCTACTTTCATGGGGTATGATGTGATATTTCAGTCCATGTTTATAACACACAATAATCACATAAGCCTAACTAGCACATCCATCACCTTAATATTTATCATATATGTGTAGGGAATATTTAAAATCCTCTCCTAATTTGAAACACAACAAATTATTGTGAACTAGAGTCATCCTACTGCGCCATAGAACACTCGAACTCAATCCTCCTATCTAACTCTATTTCTGTAGTCATTAACCAACTTCTATCCCTTCTCCTCACAACTTAGCTGTTTCTATTCTCCCGTTCACCAAAAAGACTCTTCTTGAGAACATCAATTCTATAGGATGGCACCCATCCTCAGTGATTATGTACTGAATGTTGGCCATTTCCTCATTGAAAGATGAAATTCTCAATCAGTTATTTTATGTTTGGAAAAGTAGAGAAAAAATTTAAAGGAAGAATAAAATATTCTTTTGGTCCCACTACCTGCTTTACAATGCACAGAATTAATTGTGTAGAATATACCTGTGCACACTTGAATGTGACAGGAGTTTTGGTACCATCCAGAACCTGTGAAAGTACAATTCCAATTCTGTGTTTCTGGGTGTTCCCTGAATAACAAGGTTGGCCCAGGTGCTACACTTTAATGAAGTGCTAAAGCCCTTGATCAACTTCATTAACAATGATCTGTTACTAAGGAAATGCAATTAAATTGTTGAGGCAGAGGATCTGATAAGGAGGCAGAATCTGAAAGCAAAAGTGAGACAATACAGGATCTCAAATAAAAACCAAGAATCTATTAAGTTGCATACTTTTTCTGGTTTGATCTTTCTTTGTAGAATTTTTCTTTAGGCTTTACATGAGTTATTTAAGTAGGAAATATGAGCGAAATAAAAATAACTTCACAACTTCTTGGCAGAAATCCCTGCTGAAAAAGGGTAAGCAGGGCTTTTCAATTCCGAGAGAGGGGACCCAGATGTTGCGTTCAGATAGTCATGGAGCAGAAGTGTTCTTTCTTGGATTTTGCTTGTGACACTCAAGATTCCAAGGGCCTTTTAAAGCCACGGGATACTACTGATTTTATTATGCTACTGTTTTCCCAAGTAGTAATGTATACTGTCACCAAATTGAATGGTTTCTATTAGCCATGTTTCCATTTTCCTTGATAGAGTATAAACCCATACATGAAGATCTGCCAGTTCATCTCTCTGCCATCTGACTATGATGTCAGTATTGTTTTCACCCTGCCCCTAAATGCCACAGTGCTGCCCCGCCACAGGCCCGCTCACACGCACCCAACATTATTAGAAAAACACTGAGTTCATCATCTGAGAAAGAGAACATTATCACAGGTCTGTAAGTAGATGGGGGTGGGGACAAAACACCACCACCAACAAAACCCAAGTCCTTCTTCCTGTTCAGAAAGGAGTTTGGGAAGTCAAGAAGTTAGGGTAAATGGGGCATAATTTGGTGAAATTAAGTGGCAGGACATGATAGGTGCAGAAGAAAGGGATGAGCATGTGCATCCACAAAGCACAGGGTTGCAGGGCATCATCAAGAGGCATCACTTCCCATGACAGTGAACCACAGGCAACTCCCGGTAGTCTGAACTGCTCTGCAGGGCTCCAGGGACAAATTCAGCTGCAGCCAGCTCTGAGTGGTTTTATCCAGGACATGTAAAAGACAGCTTAATAGCTTTTTTACAAAGACTACCATTATGGAATAGTAAGTTACTATGCAAAAGGCAGGCAAGTGACTACAACAGGATATTAGTACATTCAGCAGCTAAGGGAAGCCTGCAGTTGGTGGTATGTGGTCAGGGAGGGCTGGCATTGTGGCACAGCAGATTCTAGCATCACATATGAGTGCAGGTACGAGTCCTGGATGCTCCATTTCTGATCCAGCTCCCAGCTAATGTGCCTGGGAAAGTAGAAGAGGATGGCCCAAGTACCATGTGGGAGTCCCCAACGAAGTTCCTGGCTCTTGGCTTTGGCCTGGCTCAGCCTTGGCTGTTGAGGCCATTTGGGGAGTAAACCAGTAGATGGATGATCTCTCCTCCTCTGTAACTCTACCTTTCAAATAAATAAATCTTAAAAAAATAAAAAGAAGAAGGGGAGGGAATCCTTTAATATCCACAGTTTCATTAGAAGAGGCAAAATGCAAGCACAGACACATCAAACAGAGACCCGTATAAAGCACAGCGGCCAGATATCTATTTTAATTCTCAAATATTTACTGGTTCTATGGTTCTAGTGTCCAGACAAAGCTCTGGTGAAGGCACTGTGAGGAGAGACTCAGAAGCACAGTCATGGTCCCTGACCTCATGACGATTACAACCTACAGAAAGAAATTCTCTCTGCAGGAGAAGCAGCCGTTCCATGTGATGTGTGGAAACGATGTGATACAGAGCCCACAAGAACAAGCCTGATGAGGGCAAGGTCATCCTGGGCAGTGGTCCAGTAAAGGGTTCAGCCAGGGGCCCGACTGAGGATCTGGATGGGTTGAGAAGGGGAAAGGCTGTTCGACGTAAAAGCACAGCATAAGAAAGTAATAGGATCAGGAACAACCACAGCCTGGGCGGTGAGACCAGTCCGCAGACCCTGTTAGAGCTTTGTCAGGTTGGGGTCCAAATGTGGGTGGAGCTCCACTGTTGAGTGAGGCTGCAGACTTTGACAGAATAAAAGGCATTTGAGATGAGTGGCATCACAAAGCGGATTTTGGAAGATTAAACTGGCAGAGTTAGGTAGAACTGAGTGAAGAATTGTTTTAAGTATTGTGCAGACCAATTAATTGAGAGATTTTAAGACCCTTCTAAGCTGAGAGTCTGTGATTCTAAAATAAAATACCAAGGTCAGTGAGACAGAGAGAGAGACAGTGAGTGAGACAGATTAGGAAATGATTGCAATGATCCATGCAAAGGAAAAAAGAACCTATAGGATTCCTTTTATGATGGACTGAATGCAATTCTTTATTGAATACTGAATCTCAAGAGAAACCAAGAGTGGGAACAGGGAGGCCAGCTCTGCCACCTCCTCACGCCCCCAGCCTCTTACAGTCTATTTTGGGGTTGGGGGGTCAGTCTTTCTCATCCCTTTATCTTACTCTCCAGGCAGCACAGCATGTGCCAAATGCATAGACTGGCCCCAGTCTATTGAGAGTTACTTACTGCTTAGCTTGAGCTTTACCAGCAGGCAGTTTAAAGGGATTGAGGAGGTTTGAACAATTATGTGCAACTCCGGAATCACCAGCGATATGCTTACAGGCACCAGGAGGAGGCAATTTTAACTACGCCTACCTCCTAGAACCCAGGAATGATTCAAAAGTAAGCGCTCTCTTCAGTTGACTGACCACACCAAACTGTGGGAACTGGGTGCTCCATGGACAACCAGGAAACTACTATTAAACAAACAAACCGAATGACAACATCAGCTCTTTGTGCTTACTCCCTGTTAGAGATAATTAGGCTAATGCACTTGCTTTTGTTTGTCTTGCTCAACCCAATTCTAGTTTGTTGGCATAACTTTGGAGATTCCTTATTGTAGAGAAAAACAACAAAACAGATAATGAAAACAATAAGCACTGGTTATAGGCAAGACTATTTACTGAATAAAATCATTGTAATAATTTCCAGAACATCTTTATTGTTATGCTAAAATAATTGGCTTATATTTTTAAGATTTATAAAATGAACTTTCCCACATCTCTAAAAGTTTAGTGATGGTTCATTCATAAATAAAGTATTGCATATTATAGTTATACCATCCAAAATTTAATTCTAGTCTTTTAAAACATTGGTTTATTTCATTTTTTTTTTTTTTTTAATTTGAGAGGCACAGAGACAGAGAGACAGGCATACATAGATCTTCCATCCACTGGTTCATTCCCCAA